ATACTTTTTTTTTGATCATTCTTAATATTAGCTGTTATGCTTTTAGTGGTCGGTTCACATTTTTGCAGTCAACATCAAAATCAAAAATCAGGCTCTTACAAGCACTTGTAAAGGTAGCTACGCCATCGGTTCGCAAACTACGGCGGAAGACCTTGTACTGAGAAGAACCGGCGAGAAACTCAGCCAGGGCTGCTTTTTTTCTCCCTGTATAGAAGTAGTAGCATTCTAGTCCAGCGATTGCATCCAGCGTGGGGAATACTCTTGAAATAATATGAACCGGCACTGGAATATTCCCGTTCCAATGAGTAATCCAGTCCAGTGACTGGATTGACTGTCGACTTTTCATTCCAGCTCACCCATTTCAGTACCACCAGCAGCCATTCCAGTACTGGACTGAATGTTTGACAGTAAAAAATTTCGAACTGCTTATGGGTAACCATTGTCAGAACAATGTAAACGATTCAGGCCAGTACTTGACTGGATTGATTCGCTGTATTACTGGACGGGAATAATGACAACCGGGCATTAATATTTCCATATCTGATGATTAAGCATGAATTGACATATTAAAAGAAAACCTACAACAACTCTCATGAATCTATCATGTCGGTATAGACCTACTTAACCCAAGTTAGACAATTATGCCCCGGGCGTAATATTCAACGTGTCACGCGTTACGTTAAGATTACTATTTGATTTTACACAGAAATTATCTTCGGCCTTGTAAATGGTACCGAGGTAAAAGATAAACGAGGTATCATCTTTGTAACGCAGTCAATGGCTTCTAGTGATGGGAATAAAGAATGATTTAGTTATATAATAATAATAATAAATATTCTTTATTGCACACAACAAAGGACACAAGACATAAACAAATAAAACAGAAGAAAGAGTACAATAGGCGACCTTATTGCTAAACAGCAATCTCTTCCAGGCAAACTATGGTGGAAGAGGAATAATAATATAGATAAATATAGAAGGGTGCAAAATTAAATACAGGAGATAATCCTTACATAAATATTCAAGAGAAGCAAAGAAATGGGATGCTAAATGAATTTAAGAAACGGAAAGGAATTAGCTTTTAACTTGATCGCTAAAGGAATTAAGTGAACGAGCCTTTCCGATTCCTTCAGGGGGAGAATTCCACAGCCGAGCACCGTGCACAGAAAAGGAATAAGAAAAGAAGTCTTTTATACTTTCTTTTTAGATTTTAGTTTGTTTTATTGATGAAAAATATATTGAACGATTCAAAAGAGCTTTTCGACGTGTCGATTGTTATAAAAATATGTTATCATTCTGTATCATTTCATTAGTATGTCGGTATTATGATTATGACTATTCGACTTGGGCACTGCTCTGTAGGTCCTTAGGTGCAGATTATGTGCATTTATTATATGTTAATGTCATATAAATGGAGATAAAGTTTGCCTTATATTTGCTTCTTAATTAAAAAAGTTAAATCTAAAGATTTTTTTTATTAGGTTCGAATCCCGTCTGAAATCTGGACAGGGTAGTTTTTTTTGTCTAATTTTCTTTTGATTTTAATATCCAACAGTCACAATGCTTAAAATAAATATATAATATACTTAATCTAAAAATGCTAAATAAATAATATGTGTTTATTTGTTTCAAATATTAATATGTGTATACAGTGTAATCGAACTTAGGTACTATTAGCCTAGAATTTCAACCTTTGATACATACATATCTGATATGAGGAGCTGGCGAACAAAACGATATAATTACATAAAATTAAAATTTACAGGAGCTGTATAAAACTGAATACCTACAGTGAGCTTTTCGCATGGTTTTTAATTCATAAATTTAGTAATTTATACACTGTTTTAGGCGGTTTTGATTAAAAATTATTTGAGGTTCAAAGTCAACGGGCCCGAAACCTCCGGACTGTAAAAAAAATATAAGTTTGACCAGATGCGTAATTATACCGTTTTGTTCGCCAGCTCCTCATATATTATAAATAATAAATAAATAAATATAATAAATTAATAAATATAATAAATTTTCGGTACTTAAAGTAACTCCTATCTAGCACCTCACTATCAAATATGAATTACTATATCCTTCACCTTTGCTTGCGTGAATCACAATAACGTTAAAAAAAATTTTTTACTTCACTATGTCGCAGCCAATGAGGTTCTTACATCTAAAGAAGGTTGCGTGTTTTCGTATTTTGAGTCACCTTGTCTTTGTTTGGTTGTTGTAAATTTAAATACATATATCAATTTGAAATAAGAAATATATTCTTTTCCAATTGAAACATAATGGATCATATTTTCGTAACTGATTATCAATATTAAAGAATATAAAAAAAAATTAAAGATCCCTTGAACACGATGATGCATTGATCAAATACAGGTTCCTGAGACACTGTAGGTAGGTTCTTTCTATTTACTATCTTACGTTTTATTAGATATTTATTAAAGTACATACATATTAATTATTAATAAAGACACGATGGGAAACTATTAATGAAAAAAAGGAATTAAATTACATACCTAAGTTTATTTAGTAGTTACCTGAAGTTTCCTGAAACTAATTCAATTAAATTTAACAGACAATTGTCTGCACTAGAAAAAAACAGAAGGACAAAAGTATCATCAATATTTTTCGATCCGCTAATGTGCCTTCATTAGTTTTCTTTGAGTGGCACCTCTCGATCACGATATTCGAAGGTTAATCGCTACTAATAGACAAAACTCATCAATACTCATAAAATAAGCTTTCAAGAATATTAAACATTAAGGGATAATGGTACCTACTTATCAGATTTTGCTTGCCCCTCCCATGATTCAGGATTTCCTCGGTAAAAGTGAAATATATTTTTTGTTCAATATATATTAAAATTACTTCTACCTACTAAATATATTGTTGTTTTCGAACTCAACTTCATTTGTATTTTACTGGTAATGATTGTAAATAAAAAAAACTGTCAAATATGAATAAAAAAAAATAAGAAAAAAAATAACTATTATAAATAAACCAAAAAATTAAGAATAAGGTAATATAATTTTTTGTTAATAAATATGAATACATATTAGGAAATATTTATTAATTCCTTATATTTATTTTTCCTTATATTAGTCAGCAAAAAAGTGCTTTGTGTTTAGCTGCTACTTCATGTCAAATTAAGTACATTATTCACCTTCACGGGCATAATAAATATTTTTCGTGTCACCTTTCTCTGCCCATGAACGATCTGTTTCACTCGCTACAACTAACGAGGCATTGTTATAAATAAATAACCGCAGAGGTATTTAGATATGACCTCTCTTTGTTATAAGGACTTATGCAATTTAATATATCTGACTAAGATGATTTGTTTTGCATCTGCTTTGAAAGGTAATTACTTGTCGGGTGTAAGAACATTGTAGGTAGATAACGGATTAAAGGAAAAGATCAAAGATATACATTGTTGTCGAAACCCCGTCTGGGGACAGAGATTTCACCCACGGACTTCAGAACCTTAGGCCAGGCATTTTTAATTATTAACTTTGTTTGTATGTAATATATGTTCGGGTCAAATCTGCCAAACTTAATTTTAAAACGGTTGAGTATCCCTAAGATGTTTAGTTTGAACGTCAATGCATGGTTAACTAAGTGACGTCATTCAAAATCCAACATGGCGTACTGCCCAAGATGGCGGACTTATTACTTAAATAAAAAAAATGGTTTGCTCAGCAGAATAAGGATAAACTAAATGTTTGTCATGCGAATTGAAGAGAGTTTAGGCATAGCGGATTTTCCCACTAGCATTGAAGCACCCGTGTACGGGTTAACACCGCACATTACGTGTGAAGCATTCTCGCAAAGTCGCAAATTTAACATAACATACTTTTCATAAGTAAATAAATTGTATTAAAATTTTGTAACAACATTACTGTGTTACTGTTACGAACTAACTAAGCAATAAAGTAGTGATAATTTCAAACTGTATTTCCTTCAACTTCTACACAACTTAGAACTGGACTTTAACTTCATCTCATAATTTAATGGTGTATAATCTACATAGATTAACGCTAGCACTTGCGTGATTAGGGTTACCAACTTTTTTTCTATCAAACAAAGTATTTTCGAAGCTGTTACCTCTAAAAATATAGTAGATGGCTAAAATATCTACTTTATTTTTAAAATGAATATATTTTTGCTTTTCCATGCCTTAATATTTTTTTTTATTTCTCTCGCTCTTTTACTGGCAAAAATCTGCTTTTAGCAAAATATAGTAGTTACGCCTACTATTTTTATTGAAATATAGTATTTATTCCCCTAATATAGTAGGATACTATATTATATAGTAGGGTTGGCAACCCTAAGGGTGATCTCTAGAGAAGTTACCTCCAACTTACAGAATATCACAGTAAAAGATAGTTACTCGTACGTTTTGGTGGTGTTGTGTTCTGTCGGTGAGTTTCCAGAGCTGAGGTTCCAGGGCTCCACGGGGTAGGGGATTGGGTCAGGGTAGGCAACGGTGCGAGTAATGTTTTTTGTATCGCAAGCGACTATAAGCTTTGGCGGCAGCTTACCATCAGGCGGGCCATACGCTTGTTTGCCAACCTTTTAACATAAAAAAATACCCACCATATTGAGAAACTAATCCTTTTAAAATGAAATGATATAAAATAATAAATTTTTAATATGTATTTATATATAAATATACTTATATTATATGTACAGTAATGTATTCTATCCGTTACCCTAGCATCCTATATATATCACCTACATATAACACAAGCCTTACAGTGCTTACTTTGGGGCTAGGCTAATTGTTGTTTTAAAAAAATATATAATAAGAATAGGAAGTAGGATACCCAGACAAGAGATCGACGTCGCAGGTGGTTAGCACTATCTGTCTGCGATCGTTGAAAGTGAAACATCTTTGGCAATGGTCGGTCATTGTATAGGTGGCCAAAAACTTATTATTTTATTTCATTCATCCTTTTAAAAGTCGGTTATATATAAGTTTATTTGTTTTCGGTTTCCAGGCTCGACTGATGTGGACATGCCCTCGTCGTTGCTGCACTCCATACAGAACCAAATGCAGAGTAAAGGTGGCTACGAGATGGCTTACGGAGTTAAGGTAAATGAAGCATAAATTGAAATCCAAAATATAATACGGGTTCGGGGCCAGATTTAGAGGTGTGAGCTTAGACTAAAAGAAAAAGGGAAGATACGGTACGCTCATACTAGCATCAAATAAAATATGATCCGACTCAACTACATATGCAACTCTCACATACGCACATGTTTTTAAATAACATTCAATCGAGCGAGCGAGACAGAACTGTACGCTTCAACGCAGAGAGAGCGAAACGGCCAATCCGCTTCCGAGTGCGAACGGCTTAGCTGTATTGTTGTCCTTTTCTTGATAACAAAATGGCAATTACGTAAATAACATTCACGACAAACCGTGATTTTTGAGAAAATAATTATTTTAGTTATACGAATGAGAAGTGTTGCCAAGGCATTTGTTATTTGATTTTGAACTATTTGTGTTTTTTATAAAAGCATCGAAGGCATTGATTTATCTTTATAACACAGAGTATACGCAATATTGTTATATTGAGTGCACATGCAGCGTGTTTGGATTTCCAATTGTGACTACAGCGAATTGCGATCTTGCACCACAATTTAAGCGGATCACTTTTCAGCCGCGAGTGCCGTATCTTCTCCTTTTGTTTTAATCTAAGGGTGAAAGGGGTCTGGGGCAAAAGTAGTAATGTTGAGGCCTCTAAGTCTTGGCCAGACCACTTATGATTTGCGAAATCTGTTTATTTATCTCTGTTGCGGGGCCCAGACTCGGCTGCCTTGCCTTAAAGCCTTAAATCCGACCCTGTAAGAGTGAAATAAAAATCCTTAATCACAACGGATGGTTAAAAACGAAATACGTATTGATTTGTTCTTCTTTTATCACTATTGGCAAGATCTTATCGTTTTTCCATTACAGATTACCTATAATCATATCAATATTGTTTGTAGACCTAACAGAACATCGAGTCAATAATGTGGAGCCAATTGTTAAACCTATAGATACCTCACAAACGCTACTTTTGGCATTGGTTGGATCTAAGATGTTGTCCAAAACCAACAACAACAACTTACCAAGTAAATAATCTTCATCATCATCATCATCATCAGCCTCTTTATGTCCCCACTGCTGGGGCACAGGCCTTCCCTATGGATGGAATAGGGAGATTGGGCAATGACCCACCACGCGAGCCCAGTGCGGATTGGCGGGTGCTAACGATTGCAGATGCAACCGGGACCAATGGTTTAACGTGCCTTCCGAAGCACGGAGGAACTCGAGATAGAAATTTTTGGTCACCCATCCAATGACAGACCACTGCGAAAGTTGCTTAACTACAACGATCGCAGCCGAACGCGCTAACCACCTGAGATTATTATGAGGAGCGCGCCATCGAGCTCCTCATAATAATCTTAGGAGCCTTAATCTAATGTTCGACACTTCACTTGGCTATTCGTGTTTGTTATTTGTAAACTTGACTTTAGTCTGTCCTTTTAATACCATATATTATAAAGCATGATATGTACAGACAGTTGTTTCGCTTTCGACATTTAAAGTATCTGGCAATAAAGATTGCTGACTGAATGTGACTGGCAGTATTAATTTCCTGTACCTTCTACAGGAAATGAAAATTGGCCCACAGCACAAGTTAGCGAGTATTTTTATTCGTTCACTTTATACCCTAATACTACTCGATTATTCATATTTTGTACATTACTTAATGAGACTGGCGTCTTTGGTATATTAGGTGTATATCTGTATAACATAGATTTTAAATTTTAATGTTTAGATAAATAGTTCCAGCGAAAAGAAAGAATGACACTTTTCTCAACCCACTGGTCTGCTAACAACTTTCACTACCTACTTTTAGATTTTATTTAGTTTTTTTAGTAAATGAATTTCCTTTTCTTTCCAGGTCTACTGATCGATAGAGGTGCACATAAGGACGCTAGTGACAAAACAGAGTGAAATAAATATATTACCCTTCTGTGTCGTTACTTTCTAAATGTATTTATTGTCAAGCCTTAGTTAGAATTTACTAGGATAAGAAATTTGATTGTACATACATTCACTACAATTCGAATACATGAGGGTGTTTAGGAAAATGCACGTCACTATTTAGTTGGCGCCACTGTGACATAGATAATAAAAACTGCGACAGTGACGCGAGGTCTTTTGTATAAAGTTTTTGTCGCGAACTAATCGAACAAGCATTTTAATCGATTCATAGACTGTGACGACATATGCGATATGACGGATGAGTAGCATAGAGGTATAAGAATAGAGTGGGGCAGGCGGCTCTAAAAGTGTCCGTCTAGTAAAAAGAGAAAGAAGATGAGAGACCGCTAGCTATCTCTCTCTCTTGTGACGCATGGCATCCAATGGCATCATATCGAAATAGTAAGATACTTACGGTTGCCAATGCGCATGCGCGAGTAGGGAAAGAAAGCTAGCGGTCTCTCATCTTCTTTCTCTTTCTATTAGAGGGACAGTTCCACTTGTAGTAGAGTCTATATCTCCCCTACTCTATTCTTATACCGCAGTGTTGCCACTCGTCGCCCGTCATTCCAGAAAACCCACATTCAAAAAATATGACTATGACGAAATTAGACAATTAAGTACTCTACCTTCAAGTACCTCTGCTTTATTCCAAAACGCAGACTAAAGTAAGTCTTGCTTTAAACCCAATGGTGTCTCTGTCTTCTTTCTAGCAAACAAAAGTAAAAGCATCAGTTTTAGTACAGGTTTAGTTTTATTCCACGTTTTGTAATAAGACGGTCAGTGTTTGTATGGTACGTGCCTGCTGTAAAAAACCGAACATTTCCTTTTAGACACAAAGACAAGTGGTTATTTTGTGTAAAGTTTTTTTTTTTAATTCGAATCAGTAGATTATTTCAATAGAATTGATGTAATATTATTATAGAAGTGTGTTTTATTTAAAAAAAAAGAGCAATTTGTATTAGAACATAAATAGCTACCTACTTTCAATCTGAACAACACTATTTTATCATTATTATATGTTATTTGTCCCTCTTTATCTAAGTACAATAACTTGTTTGTAATATAACTTTCTTTCATTTGTTGATCCTCATAGAATAATTATTATTTAAGAAAATATTTTCTTACCGCACTATTATCATAAATAACTATTCTTACTTTATTAGTTCAATAAAAACAGTCCCTTTATTAAAAATTCGCTGATAAGGATAACATCCTCAATTCCACATAAATATCGCCTCCAATTACAAATGCACACACATGTAAAGGAAATGTCATTGTTATTAGTCATACATAAGTTTAGTCTATGCTCAAAATACAAAAAAAAGTCGTTTCGGTAACATCTCCGATTCAGAAAGTACCTATAGTTTATGTACTAAGTCAAGAATTTTCTCATACATTTTTAGGATTAAGTAATGTTTTTTTATAATCTTTATGACGTATTCGTAAGTCGATGTTATATTGTATGAATGTGTATGTAGTTTATTAGAAACAAATGAGTCTTCTTGCCCGAACCCTTTTGGGCATTGATTGACTGCAAAAAATGAACGTACAGAGACTGAACCAAGAATACTTCCAAGAATAGTTTTTTTTACTGTGTTTTTGAATAACTAAACTTGACCTTCATCTGACTTGGGTGTCGATTCTTCTAACTCCGGATTTTCCGTTCGAATTGGAGCGCTCATATGGAGAAGTGACCTCCACATAAGACCACAGTGAAATAACACTAGCTTTTGGTGGTGTTGTGTTTCTGTCGGTAAAGTTCCAGGGCTCAACGGGTCAGAGTAAGCAACGGCGACGGCACAGTGCATGATATTTTTGATATCGCAAGCTTCTATAGGCTATGGTGGACGCTTGCCATCAGACGGGCCACATGCTTGTTTGCCATGCTTTAACATAAACACTATACCCTGTCTGCGCGTCGCGCTTCGCGCTCTTGCATTGCGCAGTCGGGTAAAAAAGCGTGTGCGCTTCGGGACGCACGACAGAAGTGATAACTTAAACTAATCTAAGCGGCGCTGCGGGTTAGAGTGAGAGAGGAGCTGCCTTCCGCTGCCGTATGCGTTAGAGAAAGGGAAGCCATACAGACTGGCGCCGTAACGCGTTACGTAACGAAGGTTTACCATTCCATAAGAAGTTATCACTTCAAAAGTTGTAGTAATAATCTCGGATCAATGGTGTTTCAGTTAATGAGATTTTTAACAGTAGCACAAAATCGTAAATTAAAAGGGTGACTCAATTGTTATTTTTATCTTTATGCATTTGTTATATTAACAGAATACATGTATATATTATAACACAAATGTTATTTACAATAATAATATATACAGGAACAATGAACCTAAAACTAAATACCTTAAAAAATATAACTAAAATATGTGATTAAAAGGAGTCCCTTTAGGCAAGGTTCCGAAGATACTGGCAACGTTCTCCTTTGAATAGCTAAACTAATTTGTTTCTTAGGTTTTTACTCACATCACTCATTAAATAAAACTAGTTTTTACGGGTTAATAATTTGGAACCGGTGGTAGTTTACGGTAGTTAGGGTCAAATAAATAAACTCAAAATTACAAAACAGAATTTTTAATAAAATACTTTATTAAGTAAATTAAATAATAAATTCATACATAGACAATAAAACTATAAAAATCGAACAATGAAATAACCGAACGCTCAATAAAAGTCTTTCGAAGGTAGCTCGACAAATTAAATAAAAGTTTAATTCTGACGACGTAGCCTGTAAAGGCTACGAAACGTCAATAAATAAAGTTTCGTGCATTAACCCGTAAAAACTAGTTTTATTTAGCTAAACTAATTCTTTGTCTGAGGTAGCTGCCAGCTCTTCGGTTTCCAGTGATGTCGACTAACCTATTTGATATTACCTTAAAAAACCTTAAAGTGTTATATTATGTTTTAGTAACAATAACTATGTCAAGTACTATTGAGACACGATTTTTACTAAAGCATATAGATATAGTAGAATCGACACCCTGGTATTAAAAATTTTGTTATTTAAGAAACTGTCATCGATGCTCTGTGACTTGTTGTCGAAACAAACATTATAATTTTGTCATTTTCTAGTGAAACGACAAAGTTGTCAACATGGTTAAATAGATGAATTAAACTTTATTTATGTATTGTGTAAAAAAATCTTGCGTATGAAAAACAAAGAATTAATTGAAAAATATTTGTTTTATTTTTTCTTATCACTTCCATTGTACAAAGAAATAAATCTTGATTTTATTCTGTGTTTTTGAATTACTTATCAAATCAGTTTTAAATTGAGACAGTCAATTTATTTAGCAGTCAACTCCAAAAAAAACGTACCAAACGTAACTTACAGTATATACCTTTATTATTCAAATCGCTCTCAAAAAGAGTTTAATTTTCTCACCATGACGTTATTTAGAATTTATAAAAGAGTAGCTGTGCCTCGCGGTGTTACCCGCGGTTTATTAGGGATATTTTTCCGCCTTAGCCGAAAACTTACCCTATGTGTTAATCCAGGGTATCAGCTAACTCCATACCAAATTTTATTAAAATCGCTCCAGCCGTTTAGACGTGAAGAAGTAGCAAACATACACACTCACAATATTTCCCCTTTATAATATGAGTGTTATTATTATAAACCAATTATAAAAATGGAAATAAATATTCTTATTTCATTGCCAGTTACAAAAAACATTGAATAAAAAATCTTTTTTCGTATATATTTACGAAAACACGGTAAAGTAAATGGACCAGGAGGAAACTATCTGATCTAAGTTACCTATTTGTCCAAAAGAAATAGTTTTCCTTATGATCAAAGCCTACTGAACTGAGAGTTAAAAGGTGTCAATAAACTTCGCGTGCTTTTGATGGTCTTTCAACCCTGAAAGATTATTTTGTTACATTGAGCTACAGGATTAACGTTTTAAAAAACGAATAATTAAAATAAAACTAGAACTTAAAAGTATGGCTAAAGTGGTAGCCGTCACGGAAGGAGGTTCGAGAGAGACTGGCGTGCTCAAGAGGTGGGTACACACACAACACAGAAAGAAGAGAAAGGTGGTCAGAGACTTTTTGTACGGGAACCCGTCAACCCATGTCGCCGGATCGTCTTCACTACATTTCCACCTAATAGATAAAAGCAAATCAAACGACGCGATATCAAAGAATCTAACCAATCCGCGCTCACAACCGAGAGCAAAGACGCAATCAGAACCAAGTTTTGGTCACGTTATGAGCATTTGCTCAAACATAACTGTGGCGCGCCTGCCCCGCCCACAAGGCTCTTATAACCTCTTGCTATGTTCTGTGGGCGGGCACGTCCGCTAACAAAATGCTGGTGCTGCAGCATCAGGTGGGGCTTTCAGCTCAACAGCAATATCTTAGGGATGTAACAGTGCCTTCCGAAACACGAAGGAGCTCGAGATAATAAGTTTTTGGCCACCCATCCAATGAGAGATCATTTCGAAAGTTGCTTAACTTCCACGATCGCAGGCCAAACGCACTAACCACCTGCGTCATCGAGTTACTCCATAGTGCTTTTGTAATTAATAAATGTACTTAAATGTAAAAAAAAAAGTAATTATCTCGTTTTACAGGTTTTGCCCGTCGTTTTACCCGTTATTAATGCTACTTTAATTGTATATATTTGATATGATCTTATTAAAAACCTTTCAAATAATACTAATATTGCAATATTTAGATTTTTTTACTGACATTTTGACCCCCGGGATGGTTGAAGAATTCTAAATCGGTTTAGGCATTTACAAGTTATGGTGGAATAAAGATATTATTATAAATATTGAATTCAAATAAAGAATTGTACATACATGAACCCTAAATACATTACTCTTTTTTTTGTGCAGTCGCGTAAAACCATAACCATAACCTAATTTTATACGAGATGAGATGAGAGTCACCCCGCCTAAGGTTAAATGTAAGTGGAGTCTAGCCGAAAAGATAATGCAATACAAAAATGTACCACTCCAGCCCAACTCCAGAAGGGGGGATCCCCTTGCTAACCATAACCCAATCCTAGATGATTCCGTGGAGCCCTAGAACCTCACATACCAACAGATACACAACGATACCTACGTTTTAATATGAGCTACTCAAAAAACCTTAATGAATCCACTTTAGATTTTTCTTCAGCCAGGAGAAACTTACTTGTTCAATAGGTCAATCAAATTACCCAAAACTCATATCCCACCAAAAACATTCTGTAAAATACTAGCCAAGTCTCGATGGAGCTGCTTGTTTATCTCTAAAAAGTAATGAAATCTAGACAAATTCGTGCCAAGTCTAAGGTTCCTTACTGCGATTTCTTTATTATTATAGTTAATTTTGTGTGACTTGGCTACATGACACCATTGTAAATTAAAAGATATGTCCGACTACGCGAGATTTTTGCAATGACAGTCGATTTTTTTGTGTACCAATAGTAGAAGGGGGCATTACCATATCTCTAATACAGCTGAGACCAGCTGAGGGTTCTTCATCAGATATTTTAGACCTTCGATTTTTGACATCAAATGAAGCGGCCCACCAAGTTGAATATTTTTTGTAAAGGCGTTATGTCGATCTCTTCCAATAGTTTGGTTGGGCTCTTGTGTTTTCTAATCAGGGTCACCAGGCACTCCAGATCTTCGATTATCCTTATTTTTATAGTTTTCACCTATGTAGCCATTAAACCCTAACTCTGTCCCAAATTGCAGCTCTCTGTGTTTATGGGAAGTACTAGTTCTATTCAGATGATCATGAGTGAGTGAGTGAGTGTCATAAATGCGAAACTTTGCTTTCGCTTACTTCAGAACTAAATGACCTACAGATTTGAAATTTTGGATTTTAAGTATTTTATGATAGCTTACTGGATGACGAAAATTTCTGCGTTTTGGTCTTATCCAGAGGTTCTCAAATAGGGGCCTGAAAATGCGGCGAAATGGTTCCAGTAAAGGATGGTACGGCAGTGTTTGCTTCGCGCTCGATTTGGCGGGGGCACTGCCGTGCCCCCCGATTGTTCAACCAATTTTGAGCTACATATTATACATACCTAATATATATAAATGTCGTAGGATAACGAATCCTAGGGGTTTCGCCAGAACACGGATAATTAGACAATGAAGATGACATTACTCAGATTATTTTCGCAATCCTAGTGAGGCGTCTCGCGCTTTCTCAAAAAATCCTATCTTTTTTTCAGTAAGATTAGCCATTGGCTACTTGTTATCTACGTATATTACGCAAAATCCCTAGACTTTTCGCGAAAATTTGAGTTATCAAACCATTCTACGGCTGTTCTTTATTAAGTGATATATCTACATCACAACAATATATTTTAAAAAATACAGTTTGTGGTAACTTGGTGTCTGGCCTCTGCTTGTACCTAATTTACAACGAAAAACATGAAAAGCTACTCTTACATTATCAAGATATCTATTTAGTTGAATGGCAACACTGGACTAAGTACTTAATAAAGATGAGTGATTAAATCGATACTCCAGGTTTAAACATTTCATTGACATGTGAACAACACAAAGCGTGAACTATTCGGCATCCGCGTTCTTTGATTCGTGAACAAAGTGACGATAACATTTTAAATATATATCTAACCATATTCTATCTCTACAAAAGTAAGTCAATTACATAACCTCTAAAGCAATTACTCCAAATGTAAACAACACACTTTTTTTGTATTTGTAGCAGATTCTATAGTTGATTCACTATCAAATTAATTTTACTTAACACTTCATTTATTAGGCACAGATTTTCACAAAGAAAACATGTATCTTTATTTGATAACTCCAGCAGTTGCATATATACTGTTCAAGTCTTATCAAAAGTGGACGTGCGGCATGTACACTGATCCCATAAAAATGAGCAACAAAGTCGTTATCGTGACTGGCGCTAACACTGGTATTGGGTTCGAAACAGCCAAAGATCTCGCCAAAAGGGACGCTCGCGTCATACTTGCGTGCCGAGACACAGATAAAGGCAACGCAGCGAGAAATCGAATTGTGAATGCAACCGGTAACAATAATGTTGTATATAAACGGCTCGACTTAGCATCGTTACAATCCGTGAGAGATTTTTCCGATGACATATTGAGCACAGAACGTCTCATACATGTTTTGATCAATAACGCCGGCACGGGAAAACTAGACAACAGGTTGACTGAAGACAACTTGCCTGTAGAAGCGCAAGTGAATCATTTTGGCCCGTTCCTACTAACTAATTTACTGTTGCCCGCCATAAAGGCAGCTCGAGGCCGAATAATCAATGTATCATCAGTAATGCATTATTTTGGCAGGATTGATATTGAAAATTTCATTAAGCAAGCGAAGACTTCGTTCCAGCATAGGCTAGTTTATTCGAATACGAAGTTAGCGAATATCTTGTTCACTAGAAAATTGAGCAAGGAGTTGCAAGGTTCTGGTGTGACAGTGAACTGCCTACATCCGGGGGCAGTAAGCACTGATATATTCAGACATCAATTCTTCATTGTCAGACTTTTAATAAGATTTATCATGAAGACCCCGTACGAAGGTGCACAGACATCTATTTACCTAGCTGTAGCACCGGTACTCGAAAACGTAACTGGAAAATATTTTGTCGATTGCCAAGAAGTAAAGCCTTCGAAAACCGCTATGGATGATGGTTTGGCTGAAAAGCTATGGGATTTATCTGAAAGAAAGGTGCTGAATAAAAAAAAATGCTTCTCGGGAAAATTAAAATCAGATGAAGAATGAATCCGTAGATTGAATTTCAAACTTAGTTGGTAGACCAATACCTATATAATAATCTGCTGTCGCTCTGTAATATTAATAAGATAATAATCCTATGGGTACCTAATAAAAACGTTACTAAACTAGTCCAAAGCTTGTTTATTTAATTTTTGACTTGTAGTCCCACTATTACCCGTGCTCCTACAAATCTTAAACGCTAGGGTTCGTAATTCCACTTCTAAGTGGGACTACTAGTCATAGGATAGGAAAATGATTTCTGTTCTGCAAATTAGTTTGTCTACAGTTATACTAGAAGGTAAAAGTGAATTACGGCTCAATTACATTTGGTCGTTAGCCGGTATTCGGGTGCACGAAAGACATTACTCGTATTCCGGCACCCGAAGCAGTATTAACATTGAAATACGGGCTGGACGATGTCGGTAACCAAAACGAAAACTACCCGAATTCGGGCGTACTCGTCTCCGTTTTTTTAAACTGAGTCGTTTACCCGAATCCCATTAGCACTTGTATTCGGGCTAGCGACCAAGTGTAATTGAACCATAAGTCGTTTACCCGAATGCCATTGGCACTCGTATTCGGGCTAGTGACCAAGTGTAATCACGCCATAAGAGTACATACGAGTATCAATGTACTTGAGAAAGACGAGGCATTTTGTTATGTAAAGTAGGTAATCAAAGTCCCTAATGAACTCTTAGATCCGCCACATACGGACTGCTAGCAGTTGACTTTTTCGTCAAAATAAATTAAAGGCTGTTTTTTCTGACTAAAATGGAATTTTGGTCAAATTCCTATTTCGTCAGAATAAAGGAACAGGCTGTTGGCGGCGGCGGAAATCCAAGAAGTTGTCTATGCTCACCTGGTACTTTTTCAATATAAAGATTCTATAAATTGAAAACTACAATGAGAACATACACAAGGTCAAACAAACCATTCATTATTCATCAAATTTCTATATAAATCGAGCAAATAAGTGTTTAAAATTAAACATAATATAGCGAAACAATCATTTAACAATGAGCCTAATCTTTCGCTATATTATGTTTAATTTTAATATAGATGTAACCATCTATATTATTATGATACAATCATTATTTATAAAATGTAAATAAAAAATGAAATTTCGATAGAATAATTTAATTAAATTATGGTATGTTTTTAACATAAATCTTTTAATTGTAGGTTATGTTATTGACATTTTAACAATATTTCAATGAAAAATAATAAACTGACACTGAATTGCAATAATAAAATTAATTTTATATTGTAAAAAATTACCTGAGTATTTTCTGACAAATTAAGAATTTCCATTTTCGCCAGAAAAAAATAACCTATAATTTATTGTGATGCAAAGGATCTGACTAATGTGTCCTAAATCATCACTGGCTATCTTCTCAAACAGTCCGAGTATAGCCGCTCTTAACGCCCAAGCAAAAACAGCGGTATCTTACGTTTTGCTTTAAAAGGGTGAAGGGTTATTGCATGCAATTTGAACAAACCTATAACTCCTACAAGTTCCGAGTAAGTTCTACCTTTTTATCCAAGTGACGCGCAAATCGAACGCGCAAGCGTTATTTGCACGTTTGAGTTACAAAGTAGTAGAGACGCTGAATCGTAACCTACTGAATTGAAAACGTCTCCTTGTAAACAAACATGCAATTTGCACTTTCGAAAACATATTTCCAATGCAAGCCTTGAACGCAAATATGATGCCATACTTGCATGCAAGACTTGCCTAATGGAATCACGCATGATCTTGCCCTAACAACAGAACTTGCCTGGCACTATGGCGTATTAAAAAAACTCAAAAGTTAATTAAAAAACAAAAATTCTTTATAAAAAATGTTAAATTAAACAGGGAGAGATTACAGTTAATTGATAAATTGGACATTTATTCTGCAAAATATAATAACATTTGTTTAAAATATGAAACAGATACTCAAATTTTACAAAGTAAAATAGATAAACTGCAAGATTGTCTCTCAAGTGTAACCAAAAAATATGAATTAGCACAATGTGAAATGAAGGAACACATGCAGGCCATGAATGAGTTAATTGATTTATGTAATTACAATAATGAAAGATTTAATTCATTAACTAACAATCACACTTGTGACTGTAAACAGTTGGGAACTCAATCATCGCTCAATTGTGACTCCTCCACTTTACAACAAAAGTCTAGATCTGTTGATTCCCAACATCAGCCAATTGGTACATACTTGACACCAGTGAAAGTAACTCACTCAAGAAATGCATCTTTAGGTAATAAAAATAACAATATTATAATGTTTAGTGATGAAATTGGGAAGAATATGGGCCCTCTTTTATCTAAAATGGGACATTCAATAACAAATTACTGTATGCCTGGTACCTCTTATAATGATATTTTAGAAAAGGCAAGTAAGCATAGCTACAGTAAATGCCACACCTTGTTGTTTTTTATAGGAAATAGAGGCAATTTGAATAAAAAGTTATTAATAAAATATGTGACAGATTTAAATGCATTAAATGTGAAAAAAATTGTATTGTTCACATTGCCTTACTGCAACAGTCTGCCAAAGGAGGAAAATTTGTTAAGATACAAATTAAATATGCTTTTGTATACAATTTGTAAAAGCAATAAATATCATTTGATTGACTCTAACAATTATGTTAGAAATTTTTATTTGACGAAAGATAAATATTATCTTTCCAATTATAATAAAAGACAGGTAGCTAAGTCGCTATCATATTTCTTTTTTATGTCAGCCAAGAATTTGGCTAAACAACTTGCTCCTATTGAGCAATATTCTATTGACATGACAATCAGTAATTATTCTACTGAAACCACCCAAAATCATAATAAATATTTAAATTAACCAATCAGACAAAAGATAATTCTTCTTGCACATTAAATAATAATGTAAATAAAAATAATTGTTTTGTTAATATAGATAAAAAAAAACCATCCAAAAACATTGCAAAAAATGTAAGTTTTATCAACCTGGTGCATCTTAATATTCAAGGAATGATGGGTAAGAACTTAGAAATTGAATTATTCATGAATTGTAATAATATAGATATTTTTTGTATAACAGAACACTGGCTTAAAAGTTGTCAGAATATATTTAATTTCAATAATCATCAGGTTGGTAGTTTGTTCAATCGAGAAAATGCAATTCGCGGTGGCTCTTTAATATTATTGAATAAAAAATTAAAATTTAAGGAACGAAGAGATATTGTGAGCCTCTCGGTTGAGCGAACAATAGAAATTGCCTGTGTGGAACTGGACCGGCTTGTTGTATTGAGCGTATACAGACCTCCATCAGCATTGTATGATTGTTTTGAAGCTATCATGGATGAAGCTCTTAAGAAAACTTACACTACAGGCAAACGGTTGATTGTCTGTGGTGACTTCAATATTGATTTATTACAAAAATCTAGTTCGAGTACTAAAATGAAAAATTTATTTCAATCATACAATCTGAAAAACTTATTCATTGAGCCTACTAGAATAGCTGCCACTTCGGCCACTTGTATTGATAATATATATACAGATATCATACCACAGAAAAAACAAATTATTAATAAACTAGATAGTGATCATTGTGGCCAGTTGATTACATTTCCATATCAGCTCAAGCAGGTGACAAAAAAACACATGACTGTTGTACCAAAATCTGCTAATCGTGTGGAACGTTTTAAAACTCAATTAGATAGAAAAATGTGTTATCTAAAATATAAAGACAGTCCAAATGATTTATATAATGATTTTTTTAATATATACTGCACTGAATTTAATAATGTTTTTGTACCCAAAAAAATCTGTATTAATGATGCGGTAACTTTTACTAAGTGGGCTACGCCTGGAATTCATAAAAGTAGAAGGACACTTTATGAACTTTATAATGAAAGAAACTGTAACACTAGTGAAAAATTTAAAGAGCATGTTCGTAACTATTCTAAATTGTTTAAAAAAGTATGCCGCTTAGCAAAATCAAATTACTTAAGTTCAAAGATTAAGAACAGTAATGACAAAATTAAAACGACATGGAATATTATAAACGATGAAACTGGAAAATCCAAAACTCGCAATAATAATTATAACTTAAATATTGATAATAAAAGGGTTACTTCAGATATTGAAGTTGCTACAGCTTTCGAAAATTTCTTTACTGATATTCCAGTTTCAACTACTAAATCTTTGAACTCTTCCCCCATTGCTGCTGAATCAATCTTAAGAGAAAACGTGAAACCTTGTACTAGTCATTTTCATTTTAAACATGTTGACTTCAAAGATGTAATTAAAACGTTTCACCAATTAAATAAAAAGAAAACCACGGATCTGTGGGGCAATTCCGTTGATGTTTCTAAATCGGTAATTGAGACAATAGCTCCTATTCTAGCTTGCATATTTAATGATTGTGTTGACTGTGGTGTTTTTCCTGACCTCATGAAATACAGTAAAATAACTCCTTTGCATAAAACGGGAAGTACATCAGACCCCACAAACTTTAGACCAATTTCTGTGCTACCCACCTTTAGTAAAATTTTCGAAAAAATCATGTTAGATCAAATGCAATCACATTTTAATAAATATAATATACTTCACTGTAAACAATTTGGTTTTACACGGGGTCGTTCAACAACCGATGCCGGTGTTGAACTTATACAACAAATTTTTGACGCCTGGGAGAACTCGCAGGACGCTCTAGGTGTGTTTTGCGACTTGTCCAAGGCTTTTGATTGCGTTTTTCATGAAACATTACTCAGGAAACTCCACCACTATGGATTTAGAGATACTGATCTGGATCTTATTGCGTCATACCTGATGGATAGGATTCAGAGGGTTGACATTAACGGCAATAAGTCTGCGGGTTCGCCGGTTAAAATGGGTGTTCCGCAGGGCTCAATCCTTGGTCCTTTCTTATTTTTAATTTATATTAATGACTTACCTTACTACGTTAGAGATAAGCATGAGATAGTATTGTTCGCGGATGATACATCACTTTTATTTAAACTCAAACGTAAGGAAACAGTTATTGACGACGTGAACAGTTGTATCTCTAAGGTAGTCCACTGGTTTAATGTTAATAATTTATTACTAAATGAAGGAAAAACGAAATGTATTAAATTTGTATTACCTAATGTAAAACAGGTAAAAACCAGTGTGAATGTAAAGGATAGGAATATGGGCCTTGTAGACACCACAGTATTCTTAGGGATTACTTTAGATTCTAAGCTTCAATGGGGCCCACATATTGATAAATTGTCAAATAGACTTAGTTCTGTAGCATATGCCGTAATGAAGATACGCCAGTTAACGGATGTAGATACGGCCAGATTAGTATACTTTAGTTATTTCCATAGTGTAATGTCGTACGGAATTTTATTGTGGGGAAACGCCGCCGACATTCAAACTATTTTTGTGCTGCAGAAGAGAGCTATTCGATCAATTTATAATCTTAAAGTTAAGGATTCCTTAAGAGATAGGTTTAAAGAATTTGGTATAATGACGGTCGCATCACAATACATTTACGAAAATTTATTACTTGTAAGAAAAAATATTAATTTGTTTCTTAAAAACAGTGATGTTCACACACTTAATACAAGAAACAAAAATAAACTAACTTTACCTGCTACTAGGCTTCACAAAATCAATAATTCATTTAAAGGTCTTTGTGTTCGCTTATACAATAAAGTCCCAAGCAATATCCAAGAGTTAAGCATAAATAAATTCAAAGATAGTATAAAAAAAGCACTTATTAAAAAAGCTTATTACAAAGTGTCTGATTATATTACAGACAAAAATGCTTGGGTTTGAACTGTTCCAATCATTTCAACAGGTTTTCTATATTAAATAAATCATGATTGTATTGACGTTGTAACAACATAATGATTTGTAAATGTTGTTACATTATGCTTTTAATGTTGTGGAGTTTTTTTCGCTCGTTTTTCTCCGCAGCTAAAAAATATGTCCAATAACGAGTGGTAGGGAAAAAAAAAATGTTTGGACGATTCAAAAGTGTTGTACTATACATCCAATTTGAATAAAGATATATTGATTTCTGATTTCTGATTTCTACTAAGAGTCCGTGTAACAACGGAGAGACTCGAAATTTTTGAAGTATTCCTTGTTCCAAGAAAATGTAGTGGTTATATCCTCTTTGGTTCCAAGAGCTTAACTTTTCAAGGGGAAAAGCATTGTGGTGAAGACAAGTGTAAATTACGTCTTCTACAGAAAGTGTTCATAATCCCGTAAAATCTGTCAGTCCTAATCGCACGGTAGGTTTTGGCCTGCAGACTTTAAATTGTTTTTTGAAATGCGATTTCCGCGTTTCAATAACTTCTGTTATATATACTGTTTACAGTTTGAAAAATAAGGAATTCTACGAATTGAAAATAAAATCACACAACATTCGATTTTTTATAATTATATTATAAACTTCATAAAAATTTCAAAACACGTAAACCACTCTAAAAACTTCACAATTTGAAAATAATAAGCCTTGTTTTTTAGGTAAAACACTTCAATTTACAAAAAAAAAGAAAAAGAAAAATACTTTCGAGTAACGAATGATTTTAATGGAATTATAGACGTGAAGTTACTCTTTCATCGAATCAGCAACCACAATCACCTCTTTCTATGCCTATGTTCAGAACGAGCAGCGCCAGGTTTAGAGGATTTTTCCTTATACCTCGATTCATCTGCAATATAAACGAAATATAAATATTTTCTTTTAGGAATCAATAGAAGACAATAAATAAAAATTATGAAAAGCCTTCAAACCTAAGTGATTCCATTCATTATGATAATAAACAAAGATCCTCCTAGTACTTTAAAAGTCTCTCGAAATTAGGGCTGCCATCTCTAAAATGTGGCAACCAGGATAAAACGCGTGATAACCCCGGATTTTGGAGCCCAGAACCCGGACAGACCAATAAAAAAACAGTTAAAAATGTCACAAATCAACTTTTTTTATGTTGATGTAGGCAAAAGAGCTAGCGGTCTACCTCTTATTAAGTGGTCACTGCTGCCCATGGACACTTGCAGCACCAAGGGCCACTCATGAGTTGCCGGCTCTGAACGAAAAGGTTCATCCGCCTTTTTAAGATTACCATATCATAGCTATAAGAAAAAAATACTGAGGAAAGTTTGTTCTAGATCTTGCTGGTACGCAAAAGAAAGGAACACATGCTTGAACGCCAGGCGTCCAGATGGTGGGCGTGAAACTTCTCCGCGGTGTGTGGTGCTATGAAGAAACTTGGCCACTGGCACTCGGTTGACTAATTCCTCGGAACACTCTCCATTGATTGTATAAGGAGATGCGTCCTTTTACGTGTTGTACCGACTGCGCATGCTAAGGGGTTGCAACGCGTGAGTGAGCTCAGGAGCACCGATATGTCAAACTGCCCGCTTTTGTATCCGGTCAAGAGGAAGGAGCTGGTATTGGGGTGCTCCAGCCAAGACGACCAGTGCTTTGTAAAGTAACACCCGATATTTAGGCTTGAGGTACTTACTAGATCTATTGAACACACAAGCTTTTTCACACACACTTGTGTCTTTGCTGGGTTAATCCAATAAAATTTTGTTGGCTCCAATTTGAAACTTGATCCAGTAACATCTCAATCTCGGACACAAGTCTATCGAGAGCCGGAACAAACTTGTGTCTGAAGTCGAAACTTCGTTAAACCAAGTAACGAATTGGGGCTGACTTAATCTAGTCCAATTTAACCCTTCGAAGACACAAGTATGCGCGTTCACCGCAAAAAAAATACCATTTGTCGTATCTCCTCTCTTTGAGAACATTCCTTTAACTGCCTCAGCTAGTATTGGAATTCTTGGCGTTGACATATCGAGCGACGTGCAGTTTCGGGATCATTTAGAGGGCAAGGCCAAATTGGCCTCTAAGAAGCTTGGTGTGCTCAATAGATCGAGAATGTACTTCACACCGGCCCACCGACTGCAACTTTATAAGGCACAGGTTCGGCCTCACATGGAGTACTGATCTCATCTTTGGGCGGGGGCACCCCAGTACCAGCTTCTCCCTTTAGATCGCATCCAGCGCCGAGCGGCTCGAATCGTCGACGACCAGGACCTTCCTGATCAGCTTGATCCTTTGGCTTTGCGTAGGGATGTAGCATCGCTCTGCATCTTCTATCGCATTTATCACGGAGAGTGTTCTGAGGAATTGTTCGGATTAATTCCAGCTGCTGCATTTCGCCATCGTACATCGCGACAAAAATTTCATCCCCATCATCTTGATGCATGGCTATCCACAACCGTGCGTTTTTGTCGAAATTTTTTACCACGTACGACAAAACGGAAACACTGCTGGCGACAATATATTCCATATTGTCGCCAGCAGTGTTTCCGGACTAATACGACCCAAAAACCTTCAAAAAAAGAGCGTACTCCTTCCTTAAAGGCCAGCATCGCATTTGTGATACTCGTGGTGTTGCAAGTGTCCATGGGCGACGGTGATCACTTACCATCAGGTGAGCCGTCTGCTCGTATGCCACCTATAACATAAAAAAAAATCTTTACACCCTTCTTCTTCCATCCGAGGGATGTTTGACCGGCCAGTGTAAAAAGTTTCAGTGCTCTCATCCACATAGCAACGAATGCTGTTATTGCGGACAGTGTGCGGGCGACAAAGCTGATCTTTGTTGGAAGACAGCATTTATGGTTACAGTGTTAGAATAGATTTAATTATTTTCAAAAACGTTTAAATTGACGGATTATTTGGCGACCCAAAACAGGAAATTTTTAAACCCGGACTACAAATGAAACCCCGCCCGGACGCTCCCCGGACGCCCCGTAAACTAGGACAAATCCGGGGAAACCCGGACGGATGGCAGCCCTACTCGAAATAAATGCAAATCGTGATTGTCAATAAATAAATACATCATTGCGCTGGCAATCGTGAAATCGCGACAGAAGTAGCTAGGTCTCACAGTAAAGAATGATTCACGCTACTCGTACACAGTGTCGCGACCGGGCCGGGCTTCTCCCGGTAGCACGTCCACCATGCGCCTGCCAGGCCAGTCATTCATGCTACACCGGCCTGTTTGCGTGTATGCTTTGCACGGCCGTGTGTGTGATAAATGTTTTGTGTAGACGTAAATATGCAATTTTCACAACTTGAATTGGCAGCTATTGCAATTGCCATCGATGACGAAGTATTGGAAAAACGAAGCGAAACTACTGAAAGATACATAAAGTAGAACTTTTTATTAGCTGCAGTAAAATGACGTTTAGTGAGTTACCGCTTTTTGAAGAAAAATAAATAGGGATGTAGCTAAGTGAGTAAGTGAATCATTCAAGGTGATCAGTTTGGTTTTATTTTAGAGGTTTAATATTAAGTTGTAATGTTTCTTTATTCTATTATTATTACTTTAGTAAAGGATTGATCTTTTTCAGTGGAAGTATAAGGACGTACATCCAAAATTAAACAAAATTGTCATAACAATGTTATTTATTAATCAATCATTTTCGGAATCACTTTCGCTTCCGGTCACACTAATGACAAATCTGTCTGTCACTTCATTTATAATATGATCGAGGTGGCACATTTTATCTTCCTCTTTTATAGTGTGAGACACACAGTCACTCCACTTAGTCGGTGTCACTTTGTTGATTCCTTCTTGGAATAAAGTTTTCATTTCTTGCATTTTATATGTTATATTATTTGCGACGTGCCCCTTTATCTGAGCCCAAACCAACTCGATGGGGTTCAATTCACAGTGATAAGCGGGCAGTCTTAAAAGTTTGATACCTGTTTCAGCAATCTCGTTCACGGTATATTTCTCAGTATGATTTTGTTGTTTCACAATATCTATGAGAGTGGCCTTCACCATATTTGGTTCAAATGTAATATTTTTAGTCGTCAGCCACTCTTAAATTCGTGCTTTCGTCCACGACATCTTTGGGATTGTTTCGATCTTCCTAGAATGATAGGGCGCGTTGACCATTACGACTACTGCATTTGGCTTGAGTTTGGGTAAAATGCCGTCGAACCACTCCTCGAAACACTCTGCGTTCATTTCATCATGGTAATCTTCTGTACCTTTCTTTGCTTCAAACATAAGAAGTCCGTCGTCCAGGAAGCCTTCTTCTCCGCCTATGTGACTGATTATGTCGGTTTTTCTTTAAATGTAAGTTTTGGGCCAGAGTTTTCGGGAGGTTTTAGTGATTCACAGTCGTTCTCCTTGTGCTCTTTTAAAACGGAATAAACAGTGCGGACGGATATTCCCAAGACTTCAGGCACCTTGTTAACGCATTGACTTGTTTTTGGAACTTAAATGTTTGATTCTGTAGATTTTACTTCAAACACATATTTTTAAACGTTTCTGACCCAAAGTTTCTCGGGTGCACTTAGAGCTACACGTGGCCTTATTTTCTTAGGAGATAAAAATGTATCTCCATCTTGTGATGTGCTCAACTGAGCATCCATGTCTTCGATGTAACAAACAAAAAAACCTGACACGATTAACAAAAATAAGTAGGTAACGAAAACAAACACAACGTAACAAAAATTTTTTTGTGCACTCAAAATAGAAGTTAGAAGCCGAATGAGCGAATGACAAATAAAATAAAATGGCGGACAAGCGTCATCGTAGCACCGTAGCTAAAAACCAGTACCAACTTGGGATTTTATACAGCCTTTTATTTATATGAATAATAAATAGAATTAAGTATGATCATTACGAGTTACTTATGGAACGATTAGATTTTCTGTAAACCTAAGCACATCCCTATTGAAATTAGGCTGTTAACTTTATTTTATGGAATGACATTTTGAAACGTCATTTAACTGCAGCTAATAAAAAGTCGAAGTATAGTGTCACAGCGCGTACGTCGCTCGCGGTCCTTGTGCTGGTGGCGGCGGTCACGGTTGCGGTCCCTGGAGCCGCGCGAGTCTGGCGACAAGCGGCGGCGGGGCGAGCCGTGCGCGTCCCCGCACCACCACCACGTGGACGGCGCGGTCATTGACCCCGCCGCCCCGCCTAGTGTCACAGCGCGTACCTCGCTCGCGATCCTTGTGTCGGTGGCGGCGGTCGCGGTCGCGGTCTCGGTCCCTGGAGCCGCGCGAGTCTGGTGACGAGCGGCGTCGGGGCGAGCCGCGCGCGTCCCCACACCACCACCACGCGGGCGGTGCGGACGCCCGCGACCGCAGCGGTGACCCGCCTCCGTAACCACCGCCCATTGGTGGGGGCATCTGGGTACAATAGGTAGCCAAATTAATACCAGACAGTATAGAGCAATGACATTGACCCCATGGACTCCGTAGTATGTAAATACACCGGGATTCAAGGTGTCGCCTACTCTGAGATCATAGGTTCTGGAATACCTTGAAAGGAAAAAAATTTAAGGAAAATATTTGAAAGTTTGGGTGTTTGCTACTCAATAACACAATAACGGCTGATCGGATTTGAATGCAAAATTGCACACATACCTACAGTATACATATAATTGATTACCCGGATTCTGAAATAGAATAAGCTTTTTTTCCGAGAAAATATTAAGGTTAGGTACTATAGAGTTCTACCCAGAAGGGATAGAACCTGGGGACGTGACTCTTCAGTAAAACAACTAGACGATGGTTGTTATTTTATATTATCATTCAGGCGATTATAAAGAATTTTTATCTAAATACGAGAGGAAGTTCTTGGTGCCTGAAGATCTAATCTAGAATGGTACCTTCAGACGATTCCTTATTTCAAATCTTAAAATCATGACATTAACTTTTTAATATAACTGCCAACCGTAGGCATTGCAAAAGCAAAGAGTTTACCTAAACAAGGAGGCTGCAACGTCGAGGACGTTACAGTACCTACTGTGGGTTTCTCAAAAAATTTAAGTAACTCGTACTAAACCGATACAGACCGTTGGAGTATCTACAATGTTCTAAGGTGTATCTTACCGGTGGGTAGTTGTTGGGTAGGCGGTAAGGTACTGCAGGAATGGTCACCCCCTCCGCGCATGTGAGCGGCGCGGCGGGGGCCTGCCTCGTCGGACTTTCAGGGGCGACGTACTGTAATAACACCAAGTGTTATGGCGCGATTACATTTGGTCGTTAGTCCGAATACGAGTGCCAATGGAATTCGGGTAAACGACTAAGTGTAAATGAAAGAGTCGAGTACGCCCGTCATCATCATCATCAGCCTATTAATGTCCCCACTGCTGGGGCACAGGCTTTCCCTATGGATGGAATAGGGAGATTGGGCCATGACCCACCACGCGTGCCAGATTGTTGGGCCAGTGCGGATTGTTGGGTGCTAACGACTGCAGATGCAGCCGGGACCAACGGCTCAACGTGCCTTCCGAAGCAAGGGGCCATCCATAAATTTTGTCACACTTTAAGGGGGTCGACGAAATGTGACATCGTGTGACAAGGGGTGGGAGGGGTCCTAAATTTCGTGACGTCACATTTCAAAATATATTAAAATCTAAGTGTTGAAACTATTACTTTACGAAAGCATTAACAACCCAAACGAGAACAAAGTGGTGCTATGCCAGTTATAAATAATTTAAAGGAGTGGGATCAATGTCCATGGACTCAAGATTATTAAGTTTGTATCTTTAATTTAATTAAAATGCTATTAATATTTTATGTTTTGTTAATTTCTTTAATTAACATAGTCAATCACTTTTTGTTCGGTAATTTTTTGTTTTGTTAATTGTTTGATTTGATTATAATAATAATGAAAAAACAATTTAAATGGAAATAAAACTGATTACAGAACCGCTGTTTTCATTCAATGATTTCTAAATGTAAATTTGCAAAATATGTGACGTCACACTAGGGAGCGGGGAGTCTTACAAATGTGACCAGCTGTGACAAGGACGGGGGGAGGGGCAAAAAAGACATGAAATTCGTGTGACGTAATTTATGGATGACCCCCAAGGAGGAACTCGAGATAGAAGATTTTTGGTCACCCATTCAATGACCGACCACTACGAAAGTTGCTTAACTTCAACGATCGCAGCCGAACGCGCTAACCAACCGCACCATCGAGCTCCTCAAATACGCTCGTATTCAGGTAGATTTCCTTTTGGTTACCCGACACCGTCTTCCAGCCCGTATTCCAGTGTAAATATTGCTTCGGGTGCCCGAATACGAGTAATGTCTTTTGTGCACCCGTATACGGGCTAACCACCAAATGTAATTGCGGCACGAGATACAAAAGATATGGCTTGCTTAACACGATCTTGCGGACTATACAGCTATGACCGCATCGAGAACATCTTGATATTAACGCGAAGGAAAAACAGCGGTTAAGGCGGGATGCTCCTCTACTGTGCGTATCTACTATGTGATGTCTTACCCGGCGACTCGAAAACAGTTTCTCAGAGAGCGCTTGCGGGGGTACGCGTGGGGTTTTTAATAGACCTCTGGGGATTTATCGAATGAAGTTCCTTTAGATGTATCCTCAGAGGAGAGATCTACATAACTTCGGAGTAAGCGTACCGCATTTTCTCCACGTTATAAAAAAAGTTAAATAGGTATAGCATTAGGTTGTCTGCAAGTAACACAACTGTTCCCAGAAAGCATTTCAAGATATGAGTATACATGATATTCATTCGTGGAGCTCGATGGCGCAGGTGGTTAGGTGTTCGGCTGTAATCGTTGAAGTTTAACCACTTTCGCTGTGGTCAGTCAGTGGATGGGTGACCAAAAATTTACTAACTCGAGCTCCTCCGTGCTTCGGAAGGTACCTTAAGTTGTTGATCCCGGCTGCATTTATTGTCGTTAGCAGCCACCAGTCTATAACGAGCCCGCGTGGTGGGTCGTGGGAGGCCTGTGCCCCAGCAGTAGGGACATAATACGCTGATGCCGATGATGGTAAAATTCATCAACGCAAGGGTCACGTGGACGCTCGCCTGTTGCTTGGTGGTGTTGACTTGCTGCTTCAGGTTATTGAAGTCGCTGCTCATCTCGCGGTACCGCTGCAAGCACTCCTGCCACATGCTCGCCATCTCCGCCATCTCAGAGCGCTGCTTATTGATCTCCTCCTAAAATCGAGTTAAATATGTTAAAAGAATCGTCGACATCCGTGGCCGAGTTGTATATACACCGGGTTCTTTCAGGTATCGCCTTCACGAGACCGGGCGGGTTCGACTCCCGGTGGGGTTAGTATGATCAATACGAGCATTTGTACTTAAGTCATGGATGTTTAAATGTATTTCTGGATCAAAATATATGTATGTATCAGTATAACACAAGTCTTTCAGAGATTACTTTGGGGTTAGGCTAATTGGTGTGAGTGTTGGAATTATTTCTTTAGCTTGCTATAATTACATATTCTAGCAAGATTCTCTTAACTTACAGAACACGCGGCATAACTCGCTGCGCAAGCAAGGAGGGGGGAGGGGGGAGAAAGCCAGACTGATGTACCTAGATGGCGGCCAAATTGCAGGCCATGATGAAGCAAGAGCATGAGTACCAAACGGGTACCAGCTATTGCTGTCAATTTAGTTTAATACCAGCTGCCTGCAGCTGATTTTCAATATGGCTATGATGAGGATTTAATGTGCCTTCCGAAGCACGGAGAAACCGTAATAATAGTAATTTTTGGACACCATCCCTACCAACGCGCTTACCACAGCGCCATCAAGCTCCTTTATAACCTTGTATGGTATGATCCGTATCATATCTTATATACATAAATTATTGTGTATTTGTATTTGTATTGTGTAAGTGATGTCATGTCTTTATTATCATATGAATAATGGTTTTGTTTTGCCTGATGGCGCAAGTGGCTAGCGCGTTTGGCTGCGATCGTTAAAGTTAAGCAACTTTCGCAGTGGTCGGTCATAGTATGGGTGACCAGCTATTTACTATCTTGAGCTGCTCCGTGATTCGGAAGGCACATTAAGCCGTTGTTCCCGGCTGCTCTGCAGTCGTTAGCGCCCACGAATCCGCACTGGGCCCGCGTGCTGGGTCATGGCCTAATCTTCTTTTGCCACCCATAGGGAAGGCCTGTGTCCCAACAGTAGGGACATTAATAGGCTGGTGATAATAAATGCCTATACCATAAGCCTCGCATCCGTATCGCCGACATCACGCGCCACGGTCTCATAACGACGCATGCACTCTCGCCAGAGCCGCAGCTGTGCCTCGGCCGACTCTTGCACATTCGCTGCGGAGTCCTGGACATTATTAGAAATTGTTAATTTATGTTATTAACGGGATTGCTACCATGTGTGTAAATACATGACAATTACTATATTATTAAAAATACTTTCAAGTTGAAATTGCATAGCAATGTTAATGTTGGATAGCAATGTCAACTTTCGTGCTAAAAAACTTTTCTATAACACTAAAATAGTATTCAAATGATCAGAAACAGAATTCATGGTTATTTAAAAAAAATAAATCATAAATTACAATGAACGCATTTGGTAATTACTAAAAAAGCTAAAAGCTAATCAAAATATTACTTGGGCTGATTTGTTCTGGTTTTGCGTGGATAGCCCTTTAAAACATCGCATCAACTCCTTCCACAACTTCATCATTTTGTCCATAGTTTCCCTTTGCTCGGCGATCTCTTGCTGTAAACAAAGTTTAGTAAACATACTTGCCAAAACACCATGGTTGTATGTTATTTCAATCTTAGTACTTACTTTAACAACTCTCATATAATTGCTTTTTCCGCTGACCGTGCTTGTGTCGCCATCAGCAACGCTCAGACCCGAGTCTCGTTCCCGTTCAGAGTATCTATCCCTGAATTCATCATCCCTGGATACTACGGAATTACGATCGCATCTATCAAGATTCCGTTTCGGTCGTCGATCTTTACCCGAAATGTACCGATCTCGAGTATCTAAAGGATCAATTTTCTCATCATAATACTTTTCTCGGTCATCATAAAGTTTATCCTTAACGTTGTCACTCCTCGATGTCCGACGAAAATATTTTTCATCCTCAGGGTACGCATCCCTGTGGACATCGTAGCTGCGACTCGTTTTCTGGTCGTAGAATCTTCTTCTATCGTTTTCATAATGTCTTTCTGCTGCATAATCTCTGTCGTAGTTCCTAGAATCCCTGGGATCAAACATTCGAGATCTATGGCAGTTTTCTATGTTATTTCTAGAAGGCAAATGGTCGGGATAGGCATATCTATCATTGACTGTATTTCGCATTTTCGATCTACTTATATTCATTTTGCTACAATAACAATTGGCATCTTTGTCGTAACGACTCATGTCTTGTCGGTCCGGGCGTTGGTTCATATGAATTTTTTCATGACTATAAACTTTTCCTCGAAAATCGTCGTGGCTTCGTGTCTTGGAAACATTCCCAGGGGAATGATCGTTACTCCGTAACCTTACGGGATGATGATCGACGTCGTATGAGTCTCGTTTAGAAATCACCTCGCATTGAAGAGACTTGTGACTCAAGGTACGTGGCTGAAACAGATCACTAATTACTAAGAGTCTCTAATAGCTATAATAATAATAAAAATCTTTATTGGATAAATACCAGAAAACAAATCATAAGGGACCCTGGCTCCTAAAAATATAAGATTAACCTGTGTATTAGGAGCAGTGTTGGGCGTAATTAATTACTTTTGTAATTTAATTACTAATTCAATGAACAGTAATTGAATTACTGTAATTGAAATAACATGTATTTGAAATTACTGTAATTCAATAAGTTACGTCCGAAGTAATTTAAATTACATTAGTTTGTAATTCAAATTACTCAATTACTTTTTAAGGGTAACATAATAAACTACTAAAAATTGAGCGGTTATTAGCTTGATGCCCGTACGCAGCACAACAAGCACAACACAAACAAAGTTTTAGTGTATAATTTGCCATGAATTTATGAGTGTGTACAAACTTACTGATCAAATGTTTGAACAAAGAGTAGTATTAATGTCTAATTTATAATAAATTAAACATTTATTGTCTTCATTTTAAAAAAAGGTGGTTATAATTACACAATAATAATAGTAATTGCAATTAACAATTACAATAAGGAAGATGCAATATTTTTATTTTTGTTTTCATTTTAAAGAATTCCATGTAGAATAAACCACAGATATATTAAAAAATTAAAACATTGTGATTTATCGGAAAAAATGCGATTTTAAATTGACAATTTAAATTTTGGCGCGAAAACGAACCTATGGTTGCGATGACGTCACTCCAGTCTGTCACTGGTCGTAATTGTTCGTTGCTGGCTTTAAATTTCCATACTTTTGCATATTTTTTCGACTTTCGAAATATTTTTTTCAAAAATTTAAAATGGACTATCCATCAACATCATGTGATCATAACAATACCACTAATATTCCGAAAAAAACCGTGTTGACTCATGTTTTGTGCCAATCTACTTCAACAAAGTTCCCAAATAAATTGTTTTTGACTGGAACTTCTGACCCAAAACTGAAAAAAAAGTGGTTTCAAGCTGCGAAGAGAAATGACAATTATTCTCCAAAGACCATTATTCGATGCTGAGAAGATCACTTTGACGTAAGTCGGCGCATATACTTATTATATGCTTAATTAATCTGCTTGTACGTAACCTACCTAATACTTACAAAACCTGCCTATAACATATTTTTAATTTTACAGTTGGAGAATGACGTCGAAAATTAGATAAAGTTTAAAATGTGTGGCACAATCTTCACATTGGCAGGACTGAACCAAGCTTTGCGTTTCATTTAAAATAACTGTAACACGATAACCATCTTTACTTACTTTATGCTCCGGAGAACTCGACCTTTTACTGTACATGATTTTCCAGCTCTTTTAATTTGGACATAGCCGATTGCATTATCGCCGTAAGATTTGTAGAAGCCGCTGAATAAAATACGAAGTTTAACATTTACGATTTTTACATATCGTAGTAATTTAGTCCCTTTCATTTCTACACTTAAAAACTCTGCACTTTGGACAAAAAAAAATATAACCATGTCAACGCTAACTCTTGGTAAATTCTGGAGTCTGCTTTGATAAATGCAACTTTCATTTTTTTTAAATGTAAAAAAACGCAATAAATATTCCCATAAAATAATATTTACTTTAACAACCATAACCTCAAAGAAGTTGTCATAACAGGAGTGACGTCACTAAACGCTGATTGGTGTTTTAAAATACGTTCCGTTTCAAGTATTTTTAATTCGTAATAATTGTTAAAAAACAACATTATGTAAAATAAAAACGTTGCAGTGGCATTTCTTTTATATTTTTTTAATATTTTAATCATAAAATTTTCATAAATATTATATATGCATCTTCCCTATTGCTAAATGTAATTGTTAATTGAATTACATTTCAATAATTTCAAGTAATTTGCAATTAAAGTCACCAATTACAATTTGTAATTGAAATTGTTAATTTGAAGTTAATTACATTTTGCCCAACACTGAAGTATCTTCCAAAAAATGACACATTTACATGGTAATTTCAGACGCGTATAAGGCTATTTAGTATTTTAAAAATAGAATTAGAAAGTTATTGGGAAAAAACATGGTTAGTGTTTCATATTTATCAAGCGTGTGTGCGTGCGTGTGCGTGGTTACATCCGCGTGTGTGTACGTTTATGTTTGAGTGATGTGTGTGTGTGTTTATTATCTCGAGGTGCCATAAACAAGACTCTCTACACATTTATAATTGTATGTCTTAAGCCAGTCAATTATTATCTTACTTTTAATTTGATTGTTTGTTACTAAAGTTCTTAGTCCGAAGCGTTGTATTTAGTTTATTGTAAAATAAGCTATACTACATGTTTTGCAATAATTCAATAGGATAATCGTGTTTCGTTTACCACTTGCGTATTTGTGTAAGCAACAGCTCTTTCATTCATCTGTGAGCAGAGTTTTGCAAAGGTTTCTAACAGCATATTTTGATCAATAGCCGCATGACCATCATCTTTCCTAGACCTAAAAAAATATTAAAAATAAAAGTCCACATTCTCAAGGTCTACGTGTACAAGGTACAAGGTCATGCAATATAAAACTTTTTGCAATACGAAGATATGGATAGAGTAAGAGAGATTTGGTAGAGTAGATTTTCACTGCCGATAACACTCACGATTTCAAAGAAGATTGCTCAAATTGGCCTAAATGCACAAAAAATATTGACATACACGGTAATTCTTGGCGTAATTTATAATTAAATTTACAGTCATTAGATTTCAACGGACACCTTTGTATAATATATTTACTTTAAAAAGGACTTTTAATTTTACCGGTTTGGAAAACATACGAATCATTTTTAATGGCTATGGGTGTAGTAACATTCAGCCAAAGACTAATCGAAATTGTTTATATAACATAAAAATAAATCTATTTTGTAAAGATCGATAAAATAAATCATTTTTTTGACGTGACAACGTCTTAAATTAGGTTGCGGCTGGGAGTCACTTATGAAAAAGTGTAACGCTCGGTAACGTTACGATGAGTCTCTCGTGTTAAGTTTAAGTTTACATGTACAATGTTTTAGTAAACAAAATATATTTCTATAGTTAAAATTTGTGCAATTCTTATTTTCATTCAATTCCTTGTTCCTATTGTGCAATTTAATTATATTCATATCAATAAATATTCTACCGAGAAAAAGACGTTGTCACGTAAAATCTTCGCCCGTAAAACCGACTTTACAGGCAACCATTTTTTTTTATTACACTGTGGTATTAATATCCACAACTATATTATCATTTTCACTAGATGCAAATGTGCTCAGACAATTATTATAGATGGTAGGCGACATCATAAAGTCTACTGCCATAAATTTTTCGCCAAACACCTCCATAAACACAATATAATCTGTATTTATGTTAGACTTTAAGGTATCTATCTATGGGCCTACGTTGCCTGACTATAAATTAATAAATAAATAAAATTATACGGTGTGATACACTAAAAATCTAAAATATTAAAAACATAAAAATAATGAAGCTACTGAATATATAACCTAAATCTCTTAGCTTTCTTTGGTTAACGAGAGTTTAAAAATTCTCTCTAATCTGTGGCTCATTCACAATCATCACACAGTTTCTGTCACAGAGTACTTTATTATAACCGGAAATGACACCTGATTTTAAAAGTTACTCTTATGCATTAACTTTAAAAATAGACAACTATCTGTTAATGTACATGCTCTATATACCTGAATCTAATCCATAATTTCGGTACTTGGCTTGATTTCCCTAGTTTACTATATAACTCATTTGTTGTTTATTATTTTAATATGTTCAGTGTATATGGTTTATAGAAGTTCTCAGGGGTGTCCGTCAATAATATTCGTTTCTACAGTGATTTATATATAATTTCGAATCTAGGAAACAATTTTTCATGATTATTGGTTTTTAGGCCAAACATGTATGGAAGCTGAGCAATCTCCTTTCTGGGGAACTTATAGCCACCTTAGATATAGAGTACTGCAAGCCTAATTAACTATAACTATCTCCTATATTCTGCGTCTATAATGAGGTCACCAGATTTGAACTTAATTTAAAGAATAACGAACGATACTTAAAGATTAAGCTTTGGACTCCCGATTGACTCACAGTGGCGTTGTCGCCATTAAAAAAGGTCCCCATTAAATAAAACACCCCCAGGCCTGAGTCCACTCACTTAACTTACTTGCCTGACCAAACACTGCTGCTTCCAGTGCCCAAAGCACGAACTTTGACAGCTCAGTAATCGTATTGTCAGCGTCAAATCTTGTATGGAAGGAGCCAGTTTGTTCTTACGTCTGGTTACTTAGGGGCGCTGTTTACTTTTCATAGAAACTTTGACGATGTGATACGATTACGGTGCCGTCAAAATTCGCGCTATAAAATGTAAATTGTGGTGTTCGTGCTACGGGGACTGGACTGTCCAGATGCGACACCTCCATCTTTGCACACAGACAAAATCATATCATATCTCAACTTACATTACAGCCACCAAAGAAATGGTAAGTAGATATATATGTAAACACAATAAACCTTAACCTGTCTCGGGGGCGGTCCTTCGCAGCTCCGTCGTCCCGCCGCCGGTGGTGGCGGTGCTCCCGGGAGCCCGACACCTCGCGGTCCCGCTCGCCGCTGTGACGCCGCTCCTCGTGCCGCCGGGAGTGCCGTTGTCTATATAAAGTAGTCAATTACATCTCTAGAATCTGTCTAAATAGAAGATCTATTGTGTTGCGGCACGAAACATTTCGTTAGGGTTTTGTCCACATCCCACGTCACGTCGTCAACGTGGAACGGTGCGGTAACGTGGCACGGTGCGGTGACGTAAAATGCAAATCTGGTCGTAAATTTCTAAGTGCGTTGCGTAGGGTGCTGACGTATGTGCGATCACCTTATCACTAAACGTCGCAATACAAGTCTGCACCTAATTTGTCATCCGATTGTAATGTTACGTCATGCCGGTACGTCACTTGCCAATTCGTATTTGCTATTTGTAAACTTGATAAGGACAGACTGAGATCCTTTAAAAGAGGCGTGAAAAAGCAACATGCAGGCCGGCAGGGTGAGGATGGCTGGTGTGGCAGATAGAACTGCTGTATCAGCTATCTACGGTTCTGGACTTCACCGTCACTTAACATCAGGTGGTGTGAAGTTAATGTCTTCACTCCGTTGCTGGAGCAAAATGCCTTCCCAGTGCTTATTAGAAGGTGTTAACAACTGCAGATGCAGCCGAGCCCAACAGTAACGCGCCTAGTTGCCTTCCAAAGCAAGACGAAGATTGACATGATAAAATTACCGTCATCTATTCTATGAGCAGCCTTTACAAAAGTTGCTCAACATCCAAAATCAACGTCTAGGTATGTTGATCTTGATTAATAAGCAGAATTAAGATTGTAGGTACACAATTTCAAAATAACCTTTTATGTGTCTGTAGGTAAAGGTAGCGGCAAACTTCTTAAGCAAAACTGTCCAAAGCAAAATTTTTGTCTGTCCAAAACAAAAAACTTGCGTTAGACGTTTTTGTATGTAAAATTGCTATTGCGTAGGCTCCCTTGTACCTATATCGTCGTCATATAGTATAGGTACTCACTTTTTTTTATCTCTTTTGATTGCTTCTTCCAGAAAAGCGTAGATAAAAGAATCTTGATCTTTGGGAATAGTGTCCATAATACCGTCTGCTTCCTAGTAAAAATATAAACAATTAAAAATAGATTAAATTGTATGTAGAAAATATATCACCTATGTTTATAAATCAAACTCATAATGCACATAATATAAGTAATGTGTGAAACATATATATGAAAAATTAACATTGGTATCAATTCTGGCAGGATTCTCTTAACTTAAAACTAAATTTAACATCAGCATGTCCTTTTTATTCTGTATAGAGAATGACAAGGATGCACTGTTGTCAAATTTAGATTAAGAGAATCGTGCCAGAACCGACACCATTATGTTGGTAAATGTCACGAAAAGGTTTTAAAAAAAATATTTTTTAATAATCCCCGAAAAATACGTCCGAAGTTTTAAAGGCCAGGAGCATCACCACTTTGGTATTAATAAAACTTTTGGAACTCATAATTAGTTGAGTGCTAAATGCACTCACTATGTGTAATGTATATAAATAGCTATTTTTACCTGACGAGGTGACGTAGAGTACGGTGTTGATACGAGTCCCGCTTTCAACGCCAAGGACAAACCCTCTTTTCTGAAAATATTATCAAATATCTTATTCATTAATAGGTATCTAGATACCTATACATACTAAAACAGGTTTGTTATTATTATAAATAATAGGTCTTTACTTATGAAATTGCCGTTCTGCCGTACTAGCTATTACAAGTGCAATTGTTTTCTTTTTTCCCTAAGAACTCTAAGCAAAAATAATTATTATTTTTGAAATATGGAATTCTTTTTTGAAAATTTGTGATTTGTTTAATGCTTATAGAGCGTTCTGTTTATCTCATTTGTAATCTAATATATAAAATTCTCGTGTCGCGGTGTTTGTGGTTAAACTCCTCCGAAACGGCTCGACCGATTTTCGTGAAATTTTATATGCATATTCAGTAGGTCTGAGAATCGGATGTAATCTATTTTTCATCCCCCTAAATGTTAAGGGTAATCCACCCCTAAATTTATTTTTTTAATTTTAGATATATTTTTTTTTTCATTTTTTTAAGTTATACTTCTTTAGGCGCATTATGAAAAAATGATGAGAGTGAAATTTTTAGATGCGCGCGCATCACTGTAACCTAAAAGTAATAGCATGAAGTTGGCCGCGGGCGCGTTATGAAAAAATCATGTGAGTGAAATTTCGAGATGCGCGCGCATCACTGTAACACAATAGTAACACCATGAAGTTGGCCGCGGGCGCGTTATGAATGTTAGTGTCTAATAATGGTGGATTATTAACACATCATCTGTTCGAAAGGTACTTTGAACGATCCACGGAGCTCCTTAAGATGATCGCGTTGTCAAAAACAATGTTGGCACGCTCGTCGCCTCTGATCACTGTTTTCATATTTATAATATTTATCCACATGTTTCTAGTTTCTATATAGACACAACGTGTTTTAGTTACTTACAAGTGCTAATTACATATGGACTAATAACTTAAATTCAGTAGTGATTTTAATTGAATATTTTGAATATTTATTTAATTTTTCAAATTAAAACTGAACTTAATTGACTGTGTTAACTATCCTTTTCCAGTCCTTTTATTATTTTATTGTAATTATTAATTATTTGCATGCAATTAAAAAATATTTTTAATGATGCTAAAGAAGTATAACTTCTCACGCGCGTACATAAGTTACACGCATCCATTTTTTTTTATGATACATTTGTAAATACATATAACCCTAAATTTTCACCCTTCTACCACCAACCCCTATTTTTTATGGCGGTACGAAGTTCGCTGGGACAGCTAGTAAATAATAAAAATTCGTATGATTATGGAGTATGAGTAACGTCGCAGCAGCAAAGCGGCAGAAGCAGCAGACAAAATCAACGACGTAAACGGAGCGAACACTACGAACGATCGCACCAACCGTTATTGGTTTGCCCAATCCCGTTCTGAAAATTTCGACCTAAGAAATGAACCTTGTGGTCGACCGAAAACTTTTATCAATAAGCTACTACTACGTTGGCAAAAATGCATTGATTGCATGGGTTTATTATTACATACTTTGATTGGTAAAAAGAAAAGAAAATGGCGTTAACTTATTTCATGAAAAACGACATTTTCATAGGTAAACACCTAATTTAAGTTCATCAATCATCATCGTCAGCCTATTATATTAATTGGTCCCCGACTGTTGGGGGTATTGTAGATCTACCCTATACTCTATAATTTTGACAATTATCGTGTATTCGTGTATTGCCTTTTTTATCTATTTATGAAAAATTTCTGTGTATTTATCAGTACAATCATAGCTAATTATTCTAATTATCGATTAAAACTTATCTGTAAGAACTGTAAATCTGTAAATACTTCAGCTTTTGTTGCAGGTTTTTTAACACCTTATTTTATATTAGGAGATTACATACTTGATGCGGCGGTACCGGCGCGGAGACCGGCAGGAGCGGCGGTCCTCACGACCGGGCGACCGGCAGTCGTCGCCGCCCGGAGACCGCGACACTGACGGACTGCTGTCACGTTCTCTGACCAAAGTTAAATTTCAACAAACATACTTTCTCATTCTTTTAGAATTATTCTTTCAAGAGAGGTAGTGCAAAGAAAATTTTAAGCACCCGTCTGGGGAAGTAATCTCCACCTTAGAGAAGACCGTGAAATACCACAACTTTAGGTGGTGTTGTAGTTCTGTCGGTGAATAAGTAAGGTAAGGTTCCACGGAGTAGGGGATTGGGTCAAGGTAGGCAACGGCACGAGTGATATTTTTTTATATCAAGCAAGTGTCTAAAGGCTATGGTTGGCCAATTATCATCATGCTTGTTTGCCATTGCCACCCTTAGAAAAAATCTTGGCATTTATTGTATTAAATTTCACAAAAACCGCTGTAGAAACTTTGTTAAAGATAAATAAATAAATAAATAAAATGTAATTTTAAGAATAACGAGTCTAGTTTAATGCAAGTAGTTGAAGAAGAAGTTCAGCGGACTTTCGTCTAGGAAAGTAACATTCACACACCTACAGAAGATCGCCGTGAAGTAACATATTTATATTTTTTTTCAGTCGACCTGATTAAAAGTTTTCACTGCCCCCAATGGTGTTGTGTTTTTGTAGGTAATAGAGCTAGGTTCCCAGGGCTATACGGGGTAAGTGGTATGTACTCCATAGTATCACAATCATCTATGGCGGCTGCTTATCATCAGGCAGGTCACATGCTTCTCATTAAGCACTGTGTGCGTGTGTGTTTTCAGAGGCCCAAGCAAGTTTTTGGCAGCTCCATAAAGTAACGGAATCGTCAAATTTTGTATGGAAATAGCTGCTAGTTTGTTTGTTCTTACGTCTGAGAAAGGCGTTTAGTTTTTATAGAAACTTCGACGAGGCGATACGTTACAGAGCTGTCAAAAACATGTGCTTGGACGTCGGACGTGAAGTGTCAAGGTTGATCGCTTCCAATAGGCTGTGGTTTTCTATTTAATTAAAACTTCTTATACATATTAGGCACTTTGCAGACGACGGGGCGGGGCGGGCCGGTCAATTTCGCCGCGAATAATAGCACAAAGTGAATCCTATACTGCAAACGCACACAGAGGGCAAAAAGACCGCGCCTTGAGTGCCCGGCGGGCACTGGCGGCGCGGCATGTCCGCGGCTGCCCGCCGTGGATCATACAAACCAGTTTATATGCAGTAACGCAGACGGGGCGGCGGGCAGACGCGGTCTTTATTGCTTCGCGGACAAAAAGCCCGTCCCGCCCCGTCGTTTGCTTAGCGCCTTAATGTCAATAGATACATACTATATCTATATAATAATATTTAGTAACCTTTTGGCACCAGCATTATCAGCTGCAGCTAATGTCTGTGTCGTAGGAACGTTTTGCAGGCTTGCTTTAGCCGATGCAACACCAGCCAATTGGCCAATCTGTGCAATTACATGTAAACTCTGTTAATATAGGTACATACATTTATTGTGGGTAGGTACCTGCCCTATACGTTGATAGTGGACCTTCTAGGGAAGAAGATATCAGGATTTCTAGCGTCCTGATGGCTGTGCTGGGAATAAACGAGTACCTACTCGGTCTTCCCAAGCTAGGGGAGACAATAAGACTATAAAAATCCTGATGTCTCCCCTGGGGGGCCATCAGGAGAGGCAACAGTCCGAAATCTATAAGTTTGGTAATCTCCTTTTTTTAAACATCATCATCGCCAAGTCATCGTCATCGCCAAGTTTTCAAACGGCCCAACAGCCGTCTTTTAACACATTGAATTCAACTCAATAGTCAAGTACGCAATATTGCGTAGATACTAATGATGCTAGGGCCAGCTACGTAATACAACGTAGCACTTTCTTAGGGTTTATATGAGTGCTTGTGTTATTAGGCCTCCTGGAAAGGGAGTTTTTAGGTTCGTTGTTATCTCAGATAAGACATGACATGGGAAAAAGGTAACTTCATTATTTAAAAACTTTTCAAATCACAAGATTTCTTAGGCACGTTGAGAGATCAAAAATTAGTTTTACAACTAATGTGATCGATAATTATATAAAAAAAACAGGAACTTAACGTGGCAGGATCGTGATCTAGGTGGAAAAGGGACAGAAGATGAAATAGTCTTCTACGTAATACTATGTACTCGGCATCCCGTTTATTTCCTGTTATTGTGTAGTAGGCACCACACATGCCATCTTTAAACGGGGAGCCGAGTACGTAATATTACGTAGAAGACCATTTGAATGGTGGGAACCAATGATGACCTGATCATTTATTTGGCATTCAATGTGTTAACTTAACGAGGAAGATAACTTACACTAAGTTTGTTACTAGACTAACCCATTTTTTCCTTAAAACGAAGCCCAGTTTTTCGTGACCATCTCTTTATCACGAATCCATAAACAATTAAATAAAGAAACTTCTCAAACAGATCTCTTCCTGATCTAGCCTCATATCTAGCTCAAGTCCATGTTCCTTTCAAAACGTTTGCTTTGTACCCACCAATACAAAGTGGTTCCAATACAACTCTTCTGAAACTTTGCGTTCGTTACTAGCAAAAACGCCTGAAAGGATTTGGATGAAATTTAGCATACACAATTTATTACCTGGAGAGGATACCTACTTCTTAACACGACAGTGGGTACCTAAGTATTTATTTATTTACATAATTTTACGTGGTGCTCTGTGAAGAATAAAAGTGCCTTCCATACTTACACTAGCAGAATCATCCGTAGCTAACGAGTTGGAGTCATCCAATCCATTACGTTTTTTTCTGGTCCGCTTGTGTTTCGCTGATGAATCATAAACTTTAAATATTTTTTTACTATCGCTCGAGTGACACTCCATCGAATGTAATCAAAAGGATCTTGCGACATTAGATCACAATCTTACACTAAATTAATATTTTGCTATGTATTTCCATCACTGTTTCAAATAATTGTGATACTTTATTGTTTTATCGTAATACGAAAAAGAATTTATACTGTTTATTTTAACCAAACATACACGGGCTAGAGTGAAAATTGACAACGGAGAGTGAACATTTGAAATCGGAATAATTAGGCAGCTGTCAATGATCTTCTTAGCTGCCAGATGAAGACTATTTCATAGAGAAAGTAACCACATTGTTTGAGGAATTCTGATTTAACTGCTGGGTGGTCCCTGTTTTCTAGAGCCCCGGGCCTTGTACGATTCTCATTGGGCCCTGACCTATAGACATAATTGGAGTCCTGGGAAAGGACAAATACGTTTTATTCCTGAAATTATCCAATCGTAACGTATCTAGTTGAGTATCGATGATTTAGTAAATAAATCTAATCCCTGTTCAGTGAAATGAAAAAGTTAGATTAAAACAAAAAGGGAAGATAAACATTCAATCAGGCGAGCGAGACAGAAGTGTACGCCACAACGCAGCGCGAGCGAAACGGCGAGTCCGCTTTCGAGTCCGTACGGCTGAGTCCTTTTCTTGATCACAATATGGCGATTACGTAAATAACATTCACGACAAACCGTGATATTGAGAAAAAAATGTTTTTACAGTTGTACGAATGAAAAGTGTTGCCGAGGCATTTGTTATTTGATTTTGAACTAGGTACATATTTGTGTTCTTTATAAAAGCATCGAAGGCATGCATTGTTTTATCTTTATAACACAGATTATACGCAATATTGTTATATTGAGTGCACATGCCGCGTGTTTGAATGTCCCAATTGTGACTAAAGTGAATTATGGTCATGCACTACAATAAGCGAATTACTTTTGAGTCGCGAGTACCGTATCTTCCCTTTTTGTTTTAATCTAAGGGGCCTGCTATTGTGGTACTCTTACCTATTTTGCCTATAGGTGTAGGAAAATTAATAAGTCCCTAGTCAGAAGCAGCTACAATTGCAATAAATTATTGTGCCTGGATCACGGGGTGTTCAACTTATTGGGTACCATTACTCACCATACCACCCTTATGGCTTTCCAGGGCTCCTACGCCTGGATTTTGACTGGGCCTAGGGCCTACCCCCAGTCAACCTACCAGCCTCTGCCTGGTGTCGCGCGTCGCAGCAGTTCTAGATCTACTCCAGCAGTAGTCGCCGCAGCCCTACCTGCTAGGGATCTAACCGCGACTTACTCCTGCGAGGATAAGTTCCCACCTTTCCTACTGGGAACCACCGAGCGAACCCCCTTGAGATCTTACTCTGTATATTCTGCAATATACACCTGCAAACAGTTTCCCTACTTTGTTTATTTAACTACCTTGTTAGAGAAGGGAGTAAATGTTGCAGTGGCGCACAACGTGGGGCAAACGTAGCAATACCCAATCAATAACTGAAGTTCTAAGTAAGCTAATTCAAACATAAAGGTGTGTCTGACTACGCTATACTTTATCATTATAAATTATAAGCTTTAATGTTTTAAAGTTATAACTATAATAGCACAATATCGCGCACTTTCGATCAAGTATTGTTGATCGAAGTCGCGCACCATACATTTACATAGAACACGTCACACCTCTCTTTAAAATTATTGTATTGTATAGTCTGAAGGCACTTTATGTCCGAAGCAGCTTTCTTAGAACTTTACTTATCGATTGTGAAAAAACAGACGTGTGTGTGTGCAGGCCTAGAATAGCACCATGATAGATGGTGCCATCATCCCTCTCGTTCCGAGTGCCATAGAAAGTGACCACGGGGTACAAAGCCACCAGAAGGGCGGGTAGTAGCGTATTCCTTAATTTCCTTCTTTTTATTTGCTATTAGTTGACAACAGTCTCTCCTTTTTACTCCCTAGGGTAAAATAAGAACAAACACCTGTCGAAATAGCAAATACAATGAGCTATGTGAAATGCCAGCATAGCGTTTTATTAAATAACCACCCCACCCTAAGCATGAAGTAATATCAAATGTATACGTTCATTGTACACACTAATACTATTCGACTATCCGAATTTTATCCATCAGAAAATAAGAAATGTCTTAGGATCTTGGACTATAAGCTCTTAAGGTCCTTAGGATCTTGGACTATAAGCTCTTAAGGACCTTAGGATCTTGGACTATAAGCAAGAACCAATATCGAATTACAATAGTTGAATTTGATCTCGATACGGGTCAAATGTCATTTTTTTTATTAGTTTTCTCGTTAAATTTTCCATACAAATATATATCAAATTCGATATTGGTTTGTGGTAAGGGTACTGAGGGGTATGTCAATGAGTCGAAGTCGAATAGTTTCGATTCCTAATTGTCACTGTCAAATTTTGTATAGAAACTTGAACAGCAGCGCCACAGCGTAAGTAACAAGAACTAAAAATCAGTACACGTTTGACAATGACATTTCGCACTAGTAAACGCTAAAATTCGATATTGGTTCGTGCTAAGGGTACTGTAGCCCAAAAACGAACGACGAGCGAGAAAGTATTTGTATCTCCATCGATCGTCAATTTCTATGGAAGGAGCTAGTTGGCTCTTTCGTCCCGTAGGTGCTTGCTGTCTTTGACGAAAGTAAGACGGAATTCTTTTAGAATTCTGATTTAAATTAAAATAAAGATCTATATTTTTATTTTTTTAAACATTTAACTGCTAGATGTTTAAATCTAAAGACTTTTTATCTAGTAACATTTTCTTTAGATTTAAACATCTAGCAGTTAAATGCTTAAAAGAAAAATATAACTACAATTGTTATTTTTTCCTTCAAATGTATTCATTTGACATTTTGGATTACCTACAATGCGAAGAGATGGCGCTGGCTTGTAGCCTAAGAAATACTAGAGGAAATTCGACGGTAGCATAATGGTCAGTGCATCCGCCCGGATAGCGGCGGGTGCGGGTTCGAGTCCCGTCTGCTGCCTGGTCCCCGTGGATTTTTTTCTAGAAACATTTTCTTTAGATTTAAAATAAAGACCGCTAGAAAAACAGAATAATTAGACTGTTGTACAGTAGTCTACGTTCGACAATGATCAGAAAGTTTTCAATTCTATCTCCAAATATTACGAAAAAACTACTAATATATCGAAATTCTATATGGGCTCTATATGGTCACACGTGTGAAATTAATAGGCTTCTTTATTTTTTCTGAATTTCAGATAAATTTTTACTCATGAGGATGTGCAAGAGTAAAAAATTTATATTTGTGAAATTTGTATAAAATAAAGCATTATAAATCGAAATTGGAATGAGTGTGTTATATATCTGTCTGCTATATCCCACGCACTAATGGTGCTTATACCAGTTACGACATAACCCTTTACTGTTATTTAATTTTTTTGTTCTTTTCCCTACCACCTAATTTGGGGTAGTCTAGTTAATGTCATTTAAAGTCACAAGCTGTCTTACTCTAAATTTATCATAATGAAAGAGAGACCACCAATATTAATCACACTTAAAACTTAATTCACATTTCTGAGTGCGGCCGTTTTCTGTAAAATAATTTTAATAATAATATCTTTAATTTCCACTATAGGTAGTAAAATAAATTGTCTACTACGGCATTCTAATAGAACTCTGACTAAATTAGAGTAAATAAGAAATAGATACTCCGATAAATTTATCAAACAAGATTGTTAAAAAGTAATTATTTCACAAATTGCTCATTCAATAAATAATTGTCTTAGATGTGCATGCACATCACAATTATTAACTCTTTCTTTGTATTGATTTTAATTTCTTCGAAATATTATACCTTTTATTAATAAAAAATACAATGTTGTTTATATACACTTAGTTGGAACAGATATGCACTGTGTATAAAATTTTGAACACTACATTTGAGTCCCACTCTTTAAGTTGAATGAGTCTGTGTAGATTTATGAAACATATAGTTAGTATCTCCATAAACAGGTCAAAAAGTACATCAAGAACCCAAGAGAATAATAGTTTTTAAGTCTGTCATTTATTTTAAAATGTGAATTTTATTAAGGTGTACAAAATCATAAAATGCCAATTCACAAAATAAATAAATAAAATTCAGATTCAATTTCAATATATTATAGATTATTGTAATAATTCACATTAAACTTAATTAAAACTTATAGCCCACATAAGCTCCTCACACTCTCCACTACGGATTCTCTTATAGACAAAGGCGCTAAAGGTACTCGGTATAAAATCTCCATCATAAAACCAATAAACAGATTCAAGTCCCATTTTATTATAAAAATCAAAATTACGAGTTATAATACATCTTTTCTCCGGTCGAACAATAGAAATCGATTATAGCACATCGACATTCTCGTAAATAAAACATCATGGACATAAATAACAAAATCGTACAGGCTAACACGTCAGACACCGGCTTGAACGATCTCGGAGCGACGAGTCGACGGGCGGCGGCGCACCGTAACACTATATGTACACGTACCGACAGGTATCAGTCTCTCGCGGCCTACGCGTCGCGCCCGTCCTCCGGCCGCCGCTGGCTGCAGTGGTATAGCACGTCGGCCAACTCGTGCGCTACCTTCTGGTCCAGGATCTGGCTCATCACGAGTGCCAGCAGGCGGCGCTCGTGCCGCCGGATCAAGGGGCGGTTCTCCGGGTGCTCGGCGAGCCGCAGCAGCGTGGCGGCAGCGCGGCGCAGCATGTCCAGCGACGTGCCCATCGAATCGGGGTTGTCGCGCAACGCCGCCACGCCGTGCTGGTTGACGACGCCCAACGCCGTGTGCTCGGCGCGCTCGATGAAGGCGACGAGCTGCGCTACTGCGGGTGCGTGCTGCGCCACGTCGCGCGCCGCCGAGCCGCCCGCGCCCGCCAGGTAGTGCAGCAGATTGACGGCAAACTCGCGCACCACAGGCCGCTCGGGCCGGCACAGGTCACGCGCCAGCCCCGCACACAGCGCCGCGATGCGCCCGCGCGGCGGCGTAGCCAGCACCAGGTCCACGTTTGCGTCCGTCACGCACAGCTTGCAGAGCGCCTCCAGCGCGAGCCGGCGCGGCGAGAGCGGCGAGGAGGCGGCGGCGGCGGGCGGCGCGTCACCCGCCACGGCCGCGGGGCACACACTCCAGTGCAGCAGACCGTCGAGCAGCGGGCGCGCCACCGCCTCGGGCTGGCCGGCCAGCTCCACGCCGCCGGCGATGTTGGCGCATGCCACGAGCGCATCCTCCCGCAGCTGCGCGAGCGCCTCCCACCACCACTCGGCGCCACCGCGTAAGCTTGAGCAGCACGCGTCCGCGTCCGCCTCATCGCGCGCCGCCCGCTCGTACGCGCGCGCACGGGCCGCCCGCGGCGCGTGCTCGTGATGCAACAGCAGCAGCTTGCCCGCCACCGCCAGGAACGAGCTCGACCGCGAGAACTCCGCCTCGTTGCCGGGCACGAACGTCAGCCCGCGCAGGATGTTCGACAGCGCTATGCACCGCTTGGCGAGCGTGTCGCGCGTGTCGTCCACTAGGTTGAGACTGGGCTCGTCGCGCGTGTAACACTCATCCTCGTAGTCCTCGAGCCGGCGGCGCTTGAGCACGCCGGCGGGGTCCCGCACTAGGAGGTTCGGCCGGCGCTCGGGCTCCAGCTCCATGGGCTCCGCCTCGAGGTTATCGCAGTCGGCGGAGGCGGCGGCGGCGGTGGAGGAGGGCGGGGCGGGCGGTTCGGGCGCGGGGTCGGGTGGCGGCGCGGGCGCGGGTGCTGGAGTGGGCGCGGCGGTACTGGGAGTAGAAGGTGCGGTCGCGGGCGCGGGTGAGCACGCGGTCGCGGTCGCGATGGTGGTCGCAGGCGCGAGGTCGCGGCGAGGGGACATGACACGCACGAAGGGCAGGTGCACGGCCTCTGGGCGAAGGCAGGGCATGAGGTGCGCGGCGCCACCCTCGCCGCCGAACTGCCAGGGGTCGAGGATGTCCTCCACGTGGTCGGGCTCGGCTGCGTCGTCGGGCGCGAACAGCTCGTCGTCGGGCCGGTACGTGACGGGCTGCCGGCGGCGCGTCTCCATCGTATAGTTGTCGCCGGAGAGCAGCCGCACGCGCTCCGAGGGATCGGGCGGCGTCACTTTCCGCCGCTCGCCCGCCGTCACCGGCTCGGGACTCTTGGGCGGCGCGTACCAAGGCTCGTCCTCTTGGACGGGCGCGTCAAACACGTCGCTGAGACTCTTGTGAAAGTGTTCCAGCAGTAAATCTAGCAGGCCGGGCATGTGCTGCAGCCCGAAGTAACTTATGCAGTTGTCGTCGAACAGGAGAATGTTCAGGATGTCGAGCGCCCAACACGTCTCGGCGAGCAGGCCCGATTTGAGCGCCATCATTATTCTCCACGCGTCAACGGGCGCGACGTCGGCTTTCGTTAACCTCCGCCGCTTCTCACCCGTTGGTACTGTCGCTTCCACGCACTCGGCGGGAAATGTCAATTCTCTTTTTATTTGTCCAGCGCCGATTCCTGGCGCAGTACCCTAAAACAAATAAAATATGAAAATATCAATACATGTTATCAACATCAAACAAAATACATTCGATTATCCATAAACCTTTCAAATTGGCTTGATTACATAAAAGTGAGCTTATGTGTAAATATTTTACGTTTAAAAATAAAGTTCTACACGGGCCGAATTAGCTACTGTTCGAAAACATACAACTACGACTACGGGTTTCCCTACACTTTTGTATTGCAGTTTATGAACATTTGAACGATTGGATAGCTAATGTGAAGACTCACAGGAGAGGTAACGGCTTCCGACAAGGGCGGTCGCGGCGCGCCGATCCACGCCGCCCCAGATGTCTAGAACAACCAAACTCACATTTAGAGTAAAGTTTTGGATTATGATTGAATGTCTCAATTACAACTATATTGCTTGGTAATTTGATTAATTTTCACAAACGATACCTATGTAAGCAAAACGTACATCATTCACACGATACAGGCGGTCTGTTGTTTAAATTTATCGCCGCCAGTGCAGTTCACGTCTGTCTTGGAGGCGCTTTTAACCACGCATAAAATCTCAAAATAGGATAATGCCATGTATACATTTTACTTTGCATATCTACGTTCGGCGGAAGGGCTAGAATTGTCAACATTTGCATATTGCACAAAAAACATTCGCAATAAATGCTCTCGTATCTCTTTGTTTGATTTATTGTCGAGAATGAAACAGAAAGAACAGAAAATATTAAATAATAATAACTGATGACGATAATTCACCGTTAAATGATAAATTTAAATAATCTTCTCCTGAACAGATCTATTAACTTATTTTTTGCTGCTCCTTTTTTGTACAGTTGTCTCAACTGGCCTGAGATATCGAGTCCATGAGCGGTGGCAATGAGTGCGTTGCTCAAGCGCACTTTGTATGCCGATTACCTTCTGTACTGTCTATTTTGTGATAAAATGGTGTTATGTGGAAGCACAGAGCATCTCCACTTGCGCCAAGCTTATATAAGCTATATAGCCCTAAACGTCGCGTTAGCACAAGACGCGGTGAATGATGAATAATGTAGGCGCGCACGTGAAGTCAGTGATATAAAATCTACGCGTAGTTGCGCTCGTCGCTAGCTTCAAAATCGCCTTATGGTGCTTTTCCACCAGAGATGTGCTATGCAGCTATACTGCGAGGATGTGTCAGCTAAGCTACGAAACTACGTGACCGCTTCCACTGATGCTAAGAGCTATGTAGCGGATGCTAAGCTATGTAGCGGGGTGAGTAAGATGTGCTACCTAGATGCGCCGCCGCAAAGTAGCTGCGCGAGGAAGATGCGCAACTATTTTTCAAAGTCAGCTGTTTGGAACAATGTAAAGTATTCTGATTGTGTCGAGTGATATTTTATATGATTTCGTATCCAGAATTTATTATTTCTTCGCTGGAGTAAACAAAGGAACAACGATTCTTCTTCCGCCATGAGTTCTTCGCACATTGCGAGATACAAAATAACTTTTTACTTCCACAATAGCATGTCCACTTTCAGTGACAAACGCGGGTACTCTCCTCTTGATATAGCTACACTACTCGCGGCCATCATAACCCGCATCTAGAGCACGCATCCATAGCACGCATCCTTCCATTTAAAAAACATAGCTTAGTTGAACCCGTTTCCACCAGTGCTATGCTGTGTGGACCAATGAATTTGATTGGTGGATATCAAACGCATCCACAGCAACGTAGCATAGTACATCTCTGGTGGAAAAGCAGCCTAACAGTCTGAATCGCTATACAGTACTCTTAGTACGAGTTTGAGCTCACAAAAACTATCATAGTTTTCGTAATTGTAAATTATGTTTCTATGTCCATTTTGGTATCCAAATATACTTAAAATTTAAGAAGACGCAAATGATTTAATGATAGAATTTAAACTTTGTCTATTTGTATTGAAACGAAAACAATAAAAACAGTACTCTTAGTACGAGTGCGAGCTCACGAAAACTATCATAGTTTTCGTAATAGGGTATTTGACAGTATTAAAAATAAAGTGCCATTTGTTAGCATCTGTATTTAGAATGAATATTGGCAGGAGTTTTTACTATGTTGTAGAGAAAAAATATTCATAATTTTACTAAAAACCCACGATAAAGATAATATTTTTCTTGTCTATTGTCACGTGACCCAAAACGCTTGGGATTGGAACATAAGTAAATACCGTAGATCGTTTTCTAAAACTTGTCAAATACCCTTTTGTAAAACTTGTACTAAGGGTACAGTGTTTACCTGTTGCTGGTACGGTTGGTGCGGCCACGCGGCGGGCGGTTGCGCGGGCGGCGGCGGTCGCCACGGCGGCTGCGGCGAGGGCGGTTGGGCGCGCGGGAAGGAGGGCGGCCAGGCGGGCGGGAACCGCGCGCCGCCCGCGCTCGCGTTCGGCCCCGCCGTCGCAACGCCGCCCGCTACCGCACCCGTGCCGCCCGTATAACCGCCGCCTTCTGTTTTCGCGAAGTCCGGGTGTCTCCGGGGAGCGCCCTGCACCGCCGCCCCCGCGGGCCCCGCTCCCATCGGCTTACCCCCGCCGTACTGTAGACGCGTAGAGAACACCATTAAAGCGTTTACGCTTGGCGCGTACACGACATAGCCCCTTTACTCTTCCTTCCAACGTTTAAACCAAAACTAACTTTAGTTCCGCGTTTTGGTATAAGGCGGCAAGTCTTAAGTCTAGTCTATTTAGATTATCTTCTCTAAATCAAAGGACCAGATCCTTTTTCATCTAAAGAGTTATTTGATCATGTTTTATTGTGAGAGAAAAAAATATGAGAAAACTTTATTTAAATACACCAATATTTGATAAAATTATGTAAGAAAATGAAACGGTTTTCGTAAATTTTTGGGGGTTTTGCATTTCGACGTTTGCAAATTCTATATATACAAAAACATTTAAACGATGGAAAACTTTCTAAACACATTTGTTTTTATAGACAAGTGTGTAAAATTTGTTTTAAGGAGCTTAATCGTGCATGACAAAGATGACAAAACGATATTAATAAACTGGCCGTACACCCAAGATGACGATTGAAATGATCGTAACATACGACAATAGTCAGTCGAATTGTTTTTAACATATACATCCAATATTTATTCTATAAACATTTGAATATCATTCGAAAGACTCGTATCGCAGTCAAAGCTATGTTAACATTAAACTTAAAACTAAACTAACATGAAATAAGTGAAAGCATGCACATGATTAAGTGATCAAAATTCTCATATCGTAAAATAAAGCCACCACCACACACTCTATACCTTGACTTCCATGTTGAGATTATTTGTTAAATTTTGAAACATCCAATTAACGAAATTTTTGAAGTTTGAGATCGTCGCGACATCAATCAGCCAATTAATCACACCGCAAGCCAATAATTTAGTAAAACGTAAAAACAGAAGAAAAATTAACAGGTGATAGCTTAAATTTTGTCAAGCGTGTATTTTGTATTATCCGAAATAATTAAATGAAGCCAAAACCACGGATGAAGTGACCCCGTACGTCGATCATCGCTTACTTTTAAATTGATAATGCTATTTGATACTAATTCCCTGTATATTCATTCAAAGGATATAATAAAATTTGGTAATAAAAGTTTGTCTTGTAGGCAATAATAATGGCATACGAAAAAAATAAAAAGAAAGTCGAAAAATTATGTCCAGCAATCTTCATTATTGTATATACAATAGAGCATACTAAAATGCAAAAGACAAAAGACGCTACGGAAAATTAAAGGTTTAACAGCGCCATTTCACATTATCATACGGCATTTGCTATTTTGTGTATTTTATTAATCACTTGAATGGCAAAAACATCTTTGAATAGCACAATCTCATTTCCCTTCACTTTTCTTATCTTACTAGAGCCCGATCGAAATATCTAAGCTATGTTACACTGAGAACAGACTGTATATGAACAAACAATATATACATATTTCTAAAGCAAATTTAACTTTATACATTATATCAAATAATGCGTATTTCCCGGATTATTTTTGGCCAGATAAAGCCAAATAAATAATTCTGTTTCACAAAAAAAAATGTTAGTGAACATCGAGTTCGTATTTAAAAATAAATAGAAAAAGATCGTTCATGTTAACAAGTACCTTATTTTTTTGCAAAGCATACATGTTGTGTAATCTTTTGGTAATAAATAGTTATAATTCAAAGACACTAGTAACTCAGTGGACACCATAGAGGTATAAGAATAGAGTGGCTGGAAGGCGGCTCTAAAAGTGTCCGTCCAGTAGAAAGAGAAAGAACATGAGAGACCGCTAGCTATATCTCTCTCTTGTGACGCATGCGCAGTCTCTCCAACCAATAGCAACCAAAACAAGCTAACCTCTACGACAATATGGCATCACATCGAAATAGTAAGATGCTTACGGTTGCCAATGCGCATGCGCGATTAGAGAGAGAAAGCTAGCGGTCTCTCATCTTCTTTCGATTTCTATTAGGGGGACACTTCCACTTGTAGTAGAGTCTATATTTCCCCTACTCTATTCTTATACCCCTACGGTGGACACACGGCCTAGTACCTAACAATGACTATGCGATGATCGACGCTTCAGTCAGCATTAGCGCGTGCGCTATCCGTGCGTGCGAGAATGAACCGTATCGCCAATCGAATGGGAAGCGGGTGTTGAGTGCGTGGTACAAACGGGGCGTCCGTACGTAGGGTCTGGGGTTCGGCGGCAGCGGCGCGACCAGCTGGCGAGCGAGTTGCGAGCTCATTAGGTTCTGCGACCCCGTTATCTACACATCACCAGACATGTCAGCACCTGCGCTACACCTAGCGGCGGACGTCTTACAAGTAACCGTGAACAATGAAGCTTATTATAAGGAGACTTGAATAATTCTTTGTTCAAATGTTTTCTCAAAAAAAGGGGAGCCTGATGAAATATGTACCAATCGATAAGGAGGATAAAAAAACAATTCCCCCTCTACGCGTCGCTCATCGCGCAGCTTGCATCGCACTGTCGGGTAAGTAATATTTAAACACAAACCCCCTTATTAATAAACAAGGAATAAGCTTAGACTAGTTACGCCGTGTTTTGTTTATGTCACTCAAATGCCATTTGTCATTCAATAGACGGAGGCAAAACATGCAGTAACTAATCCTAGTGTAGTCTTCGTTTATTAATAACGGGAGGTAACGACTAAGTCAATCTTTACCAGTTTCATTGAAATACTTGATTGTTCTATTAGTTTTATTTTTCCTGCAAGTAACTCGATTTAGTACACTTTTTATCGTGTCCTGCAATCTCTTAACTAGAACTAGCTGAAGGCTGCTGAAAAGAATGAAAGAACTTTCAAATATATCCATGTAAGTGTGTAAAATTTGTATTTGACAAGCTTCATTGCCAATGGTTATGTTAAAGATGCGCCGCTAGGTATACACATACTCAACGAGCCAACACAAAGACACTACTGTTCTACAAAATCTACACTAATACTTTTTTATATTTATCACCTTATACATAAAAAACCCTTGAAGATTTTGACATTCTATAAGTTTACAATTCAAAATAACAATTTGTAAAACGGTTATGAACATCCTAATAGAACTAATGAATAGATTAGTTTATAAAAAGATTCCCACTTGTGTCTATATTAAGAAACTGTAAATCATAGTAATATGGAAAAATAAATAATTATTTGATTTTCTTATAGCATACAGTGTTGGATGAATAGATATTTTTTTTATAATTTTCTGTATTGATCACTCTTATCAATAATTTCACTTAAACCTAAAACAAATCGACATGCACAGTCAAAGCTTTACTTTTAATCACATACACAAACTGTTAAATCTGTCATTCAATTAATTAAGAACAATAATAATCCAACTCAAATAGTATTCAAAAACTTCAACATATGTGGCAAAGTGTTAAAATTAATTGAGAAAGTCCGACGCTTTGTACAACCTTATTATATTGTTGTCTATTAAATAAACTGGATCATTATTGTGACTTCATAGTATATTTTTTGTTATTATTTACTGGTCAAATTAGCATTAATTCGAAATATTGATGCTATCTTAAATGTTTTCTTCAATAGTAACATAACAGATTGCATTCTATACGAAAGCACAGCACATCAGACATTCACAAGAAATACTTTTCATACTGTTCATGCATTTTGTAATACTACAAGCACAAACATATTGGTATAGTCTTAAGACTGTCGATCTTACTGTAATAATCAATGCAAGTAATTTTCATTTAATAAAAAAAGAATTGCTTTCTTCTTAGTATTACGACTATGAAAATTTCTATAAAAACGTAAATATTGAAGACGTAACAAAACGTGCACATTCGCTCATAAATATGCCATGCCTCACATCAGGGAAACTTTACCCACGTAATGTGGCGTGAATGTCGCCATTTACGCGTAGATTAGCTTTAAGTAAACCATCATTGCACTTTTCTTTAAAAAAAAACTGCATTTCATTATCATCAGCCTTTTAATGTCACCACTGCTGAGGCACTGGCCTTCCTATTGATGTATATAACGCAAGGCAAGGATTGTTATCACAAAAAATAAATGCAGTAATTAACACCGGTCATAAAGTATTTCTTTATTGCATTAGTAGTGTAAAGATGAGTTACTAAAACGGGTTAACAGTATCTAAAACGAATTTTACATTAATTATCTTCACGGATCCTAATCCCGCCGCGTATTTATTTTGTTACGTGATATATATATGACATATATAATAGCAAAGAACTCCCCCTTAAATTATAATCTACTAAATGGTTTCTTTGGAAATAAAACCGACATGGGCATAATTTCCGAATACTCGTAAACTCGCACTATATAGATACTAACCCCTTATTAATAAAAGAAAAATAAGATTGGATTAGTTACTCCCATGTTTTGTCTCTTTTCATTAAATGACAAATGTCATTTGAGCGATATAAACAAAAAAAGTCTAAGCTTATTCCTTGTTTATTAATAGGGGGGGGGGGGGGGGGGGTACAGTAAATCTAAAATAATTCGTTATAAAACACGTAAACATATAAAACATCAATAACAACATTTTGCAGTTATTTTCTGCCTTGCAGCCTAAGTAATACTAGAGAAGAATTCGACACGGCCATATTCGATAGGGAGCGGAGGCTGCGGGTTCGGGTTCGGTCAGCTGCCTTTTCCGGGTGAAATTTTCTTAAACAATATGTGAGCGAAAGGCGCAAACCTACCTCTCCCGCTCGCACACCACTCCTAACGTTATTATTATTTACCCAATTTATTGTCAATTAATTAATGTAAAATTTTGTATATCTATGATGCTTTCTTAAATAAAAGGACATTGGTCAACTGACCACCAATGAGTTTAATTTACCAAAACTCACAATCGCTAAACATACATACCTCATGCGAGGGCGGTTGATGCGGTTGGTGTGGTTGATGAGGTTGATGGGGTTGATGCGGCGGATGGGGCGGGTGCGGCGAATGCGGCGGGTGCGGGGGGTGCGGCGGGCCCCGGTAGTACTCCGAGTAGGGCTGGGCGGGGGGCGGAGTCCCCGCCGGGCCGGGACCCGGACCGGCGCCGCCAGGACCCGCGCGGTACGCGCCCCCGTACCCGCCGTACTGGTACTCGCCGCCACGGTACCCTCTGTAGTGCAATCGAATAAATAAATAAATTTATATTTCCCACACTTTAACCAATTAGCTTTGCCCCAAAGTAAGCACTGTTCGGCTTCTGTTATGGGATGCTAGGGTAATGGATAGAATACATATCACGGTACGGTCACGGTGTACGTAATTGAACTACTTCGAAACGACTCGACCGATTTTCGTGAAATTTTATATACATATTCAGTAGGTCTAAGAATCGGACAACATCTATTTTTCATCCCCCTAAATGTTAAGGGTGGTCCACCCTTATTTTTTTTTAAATTTTTGTTTTTTTAGTGATACATCATACAAAAATACATACAACCCTAAATTTTCACCCTTCTACCACCAACCCCAATTTTTTATGCCGGTACGAATTTCGCTGGGATTTTAATTTCTATAAAAATATACTTATTTCAGTATCATTATTGTGTTTCTTAATTACTGTCGCCACTGCTAGGGCACAGGCCTTCCCTTTGAATGGAATAGGAGATTGGAACCCATCACGCGGATACATTGCGGATTGGTGGATACTAACGACTGCCGATTCAGGCCAAGACCAACGGCTTAACGTGGCTTCAGAAAGCACAAAGGAGCTCGATATAAAACATTTTGGTGGCCCTTCCTATATACACTTGAGCTATAGAGCCCTCTACTACTTAGTAAACCCATGTATGAACATAACTATTATATATAGTCTATTATATCCAAAATTATGTATTAACCACATCTTAAAATTTAATAGACGTGTAAATTGCCTCATCCAGAATACAATACTAGACTGAGAAAATACATATTGCTAGTTTTGTATAACCAACCTGTCACCATCGGGTCCGTAGGGAGGGTAAACCGGCCTATTTGGCTGATAAGGAGATCCGTATTCGTACCCGTAACCTTGTTGGTAACCTGAAACATAAAAGTCCGCATAAATAGATGATAAAATCACCACAACATGAAAAACAAATTTTGTAACATGCGGATCTTGCATTAATATTCACTACAAAACATGCTAAATCACAACATAATACTCCTCTAAAATAACGCATATTGCAAATAATAATAATTATAATGCAAGTATAGATGCCTGCCATGATTATTATAACAAAATACTTATATAATATAAAATCACTATACACGACCTACTACATAACAGCAAAACTTATTCCGGTATCCTTTAAGGTTATAGAATGGTTGGTAATACAATACAAAGATGCACACTATATTTAATATGTTAACTAGGCCTATATGATATGTATAAATAAATGTTTGGTGAACTGAAGCCATTGGCAAAAACAAGCTATTAGTGTATTATCTACTGTAACCCACACACGAAGGATAAGACCGAAATAATGAGAATATGAAATCCATTTTCGTTAACTGACTGTACTACAATAGACCAATGTAATATTCCCATCCATATCCCAAAACGAATTTAGCCACGAACTTATTATAACGCCCAATAAGCAAAACCAACATTGCAATACGAGCATTATTCATGAGATCTACGCAACATAATAATAAAGAAAAAGGCCGCACAGTAATAACTGGGATAAAAGTGCCGTGGTATATGATTAGAAACGAGACAACAAGCCTGCATACAATCGAAAAAGTTATCAACTTTCGGGCAATAATCCCTTAAACTGTATTTCATGATTGGGAGGGAAGTTTATGCCACTATCGAGATTGAGCGCAAGCAATTTTCGCTTTAATGAGTGATGACGGCTCTTTACACGGCTATCCGTGTTTGCAATTTGTCACTTTGACACCAGGTTGTCCTTATTATTATTATTGAGAAGTAGTGAGTGCTTGCGACTCCGTCTGTGTGATTATAAATGATTTCTCATACAAACTTCCACCACCTTATTACCCCTCTAAAGAATGATTTCCTTTCCCGGAACTCAAACTGTCTCTGTAACCAAATTTCATCTGAATCGGTTCAGCGGTTTAAGTAGGAAGAGGTAACAGATAGATAGACCGACATACATACACACTTACGCATTTAAAATATAAGTATGGATGAAAAGGAGTCAAGTCAAGTTTACAAATAGCAAATACGAATAACCATGTGAAGTGCCGATGCTAGCCTGATAACTTATTCGATTGTAGTTGTTGGACCCACAGACATAGATCGAAATAGATACCGCAGGTGTGTACTTGGCGTGCCAAAAACATGCCAAAAGGGAGACGAAACGTCTTCCTTTTCCGCTATTTTATTTCTAATTTTTACTGTTCTCGATACGGATTCCCATCACATTTTTTTATTGTCTTATTAATTTTGCCATAATGAGCCATAGAAATGATAGAATTGAAACAGGTTGCCGCAGCCCATGCCCATGCTTTTCAGTCACTTAATTTGTTATGAAAATCGACACGCTCGGTATTCTTACAAAGAGGGTGTTTAGGAAAATTAACGTCACTGGTTGGCGCCACTGTGACGCAAGGTCATTTGTATGAAGGTTTTGGCGCGTATTAGTTGAACGAGTATTTAAATTTATACTGAGACTATCACGACATATGCTATTTGACGGATGAGTAGACCTTCCGCGTCAGTGCTGCCACCTGGCGCCCGTTATTCCAGAAAACCCTCATTTGACGCACATGCGTCGTCTACTTAAATCTAGGTCTGTGGTTGAAGCAACAAATTAGAAATAAAATGGAATAAGAACTGCGCTAAAAAGTGGTTCCACGCAAACCGCGATCAAGTGAGCGGGACGAAAAATCTGCGATAACACGCCGATCATGGGATTGGTTGAGATTTCGGTTTACCATTATCTTAGTCAATGAATGGATAGCCGATTTAATTGCAGATATTTGATTTGTCAAAGTATTTGTTTTGTCTTTGTGCGTGTCGCGTTAGTATTGAAGTTTAGTTGTATGAGTTTGGAACCACGTTTTAGCGGCTTTTGTTTGAGAGTAAAGCCATCACCATTCCATATCATTTCTAATTCGTTGGGTTGGAGCCTGGCTTTTTGGGGACATTGGGGTTCAGTACCTGGGGGTCTCCTGGGCCCCGGCGGCTCGTCGAAGGGATTGGAGGCGGCGAGGTTGTCCCCGCCCGGCCCACCGCCTACAACCACACGTCTTAGTGCCAAACTGAGCTGACTACATTATATGCATATGCACACGGTGTTATTACGACCCCATACAATTAACGAAAGATGTTCTTAAACAGAAAGTTACCCGTAATAAGCTCTTTACACCTTACACGTGAAACGGTGACGGGCTCGAATCTGACAGGATTTCTCTAAACTTAAAACTAAATTTCACAACAGTTTATCCCTTTCATCATTTATAGGATTAGACAGGATATTCAAGCATGATTTTCTAAACTTAAAACTAAATATGCTATCAGTCTCTCCTTTTCATTCTGTATAGAGAATGACTAGAATACACTGTTGTCAAATTTAAATTTAAGTTTAGAAAATCATGCTTGAAATGTCTCCATTATTGTCAATTTGTCCTTTAGATAAAGAGAATCATGCCAGAATCAGGCCCAATATTTTGCACAAAGTATCTCCCTCTAGACTGCATATACAGGCACTTGATCAGCTTAAATAGCTATACTGCATAGACGTCCGACACGCTCCCAAACGGCGATACAATGTTTCACCAATAGGGTATTTGACAAGTTTGAGAGAACGATCTCACATTACACGATTAGTCCATAACAAGTGGATGTTCATCATTCTCTCGAGTAATTCAGTAAAGAAACAATCAAAATTAGATTTTCAAGTTGCCGCGAAAACGTTTCTTTGGACATTATGGCATCTCACTAGCATGCAACACGACTGTCATTAAAACGTCAAACTACAATGTAATGTCACTTTGATCGGAAGTTTCTAGCGTGTGACGTAATTTTTAGAAAAGTACATATGTATCTGTTTGTTCTCTCAGAATAGTAAAATCGCTGCTTATATTCATATTAAATACAGATGCCAACAATTGGTACATAATTTTTCGTACTGTCAAATACCGTATTTTCCATCCGACCGACGGAATCAAACGTGGTTTACTCCCCTCGCATATCTCAACATAGTCGATTTTGATTTAATACAAAAAATTTGTAATGCGGACTCTAGTGGGGATGCTCAGTGGTTGACTGAAATAGTTTCCGTTTAGTATTTAACAAACAGTTATTATTATATCAAAGTTGAACTCGTTAAATTTGTTAAAACTTTCACAAATTGTATGTGTCGTCATAAACATAGTAGTCATCTAAAGTGCAATAGTTAGGATTAGTGGAAAGCGGAATGAACAGAACGAATGTTAGGTGATCATCATCAATGGCGTTAGTCCTATGATTGCACAAATAAAGAGAAGAAGCGCGCACTCGCGTACTGTCGTTATTGCACACGATCCATAAACAGTTCGATAGCAGTGAAGACTTTAACACAGTATTAAAAAATAAACCAGACTTTTTACAAACATGTGTAAAGCCTACACTCTTAGATAGCAAGAACTAGCCTCTATTAGTAACATTCCAGGAATACTGTTTGACGTAATATTGTTATTAAAAGAAATGAAGAGAGGTACAGGACTCCTGAAACATTCTTTGCGATAGCCACGCTCATTTACAGCTTTTATAAATAAGAATGTGACACCTGTTTGCTATTTGATAAAATATGTGCAGAAAGTACATCAGTAAAACACAATGCATCTAATGCAGTAATGCATAATACATTAAAAATTATGTTTAGTACAAACAGATAACTTTGTTTTTGTGTTATGAAATTATTTTTACAACACACAGAGTTGATCTCATTAATAGTACTAAATGTAGTAGACAAGATTTATTTTTTATATTCCATCAATGTTTTAGTTCCAACTTTAGTTGTTATAACAGCGACAGAATTCTTAAGTTTCTTTCATACTCCATATCGAATAGGGAAGATGCAATATTTTTATTTTTGTTTTCATTTTAAAGAATTCCATGTAGAATAAACCACAGATATATTAAAAAATTATTACATTGTGATTTACCGGAAAAAATGCGGTTTTAAATTAACAATTTAAATTTTCGCGCGAAAACGAACCTATGGTTGCGATGACGTCGCTCCTGTCTGTCACTGGTCGTAATTGTTCGTTGCTGGTTTTAAATTTTCATACTTTTGCATAGTTGTTCGACTTTCGAAATATTTTTTTGAAAAATTTAAAATGGACTATCCATCAACATCATGTGATCATAACAATACCACTAATAATCCGAAAAAAGGCCGTGTTGACTCATGTTTTGTGCCAATGTACTTCAACAAAGTTCCCAAACAAATTGTTTTTGACTGGAACTTCTGACCCAAAACTGAAAGAAAAGTGGTTTCAAGCTGCGAAGAGAAATGACAATTATTCTCCAAAGACCATTATTCGATGCTTAGAAGATCACTTTGACGTAAGTTGGCGAATATACTTGTTATATGCTTAATTAATCTGCTTGTACGTAAAAACGCATTAGTAACCTACCTAATACTTACAAAACCTGTCTATAACATATTTTTAATTTTACAGTTGGAGAATGACGTCGAAAATTAGATAAAGTTTAAAATGTGTGGCACATTCTTCTCATTGGCTCCTGCCAATTGCTTGCTGAACCAAGCTTTGCGTTTCATTTAAAATAACTGTAACACGTATTTTATGCTCCGGAGAACTCGACCTTTTACTGTACATAATTTTCCATCTCTTTTAATTTGGACATAGCCGATTGCATTATCGCCGTAAGATTTGTAGAAGCCGCTGAATAAAATACGAATAAACCACGATTTTTACATACCGTAGTAATAAAGTCCCTTTCATTTCTACACTTAAAAACTCTGCACTTTGGACAAAAAAAGTTATAACCATGTCAACGCTAACTCTTGGTAAATTCCTGGAGTCTGCTTTGATAAACGCAACTTCCATTTTTATTAAATGTAAGAAAACGCAATATATTCCCATAAAATAATATTTACTTTAACAACCATAACCTCAAAGAAGTTGTCATAACAGGACTGACGTCACTAAACGCTGATTGGTGTTTTAAAATACGTTCCGTTTCAAGTATTTTTAATTCGTAATAATTGTTAAAAAACAACATTATGTAAAATAAAAACGTTGCAGTGGCATTTCTTTTATATTTTTTTAACATTTTAATCATAAAATTTTCATAAATATTATATATGCATCTTCCCTATTGTAATACATATTAATTAAAGTTATAGCTATGTAGCTGGCTTCACCTTTAAGGTGAATGGCTTAATAAAGAATAAAAAAAAACATTAATATGAATGAAAATTATTAATAAATAGCTTAAATATTAAAATACTATTAGTTGGGCGAAACACAGGAAAAATAAACTTATCCATTCCTTTTAAATAAAAATTTAATAAAAATGCCAAAAACTTTGATTTTTATTTAAAAGGAAAGAATAAAGTTTATTTATCCTGTGTAAAGCTCTTGCTAAAATATTATGTACGATTAAAAAATCCTAGTTCCTATCTGTGTCTAGTTATAGACAGCAATATTCTGCTATTTTGAATCTCTTGCTTGTGTACTAGAGCGTGTAATGCAATGTAGCGTAAGTGTAACGTAGGGTAGCGTAAGTGTAATGCAATGCAGCGTAATTGTAACGGAGTGTAGCGTAAGTGTAATGCAATGTAGCTTAAATAAAATGCAATCACAGAGCACTCCCACCAGAGTCCGCATTACTTTTTTTTTAATTCGAAATCTCCAAATGTGATGGCGTACGGAGAGCAAAAGCTGCGTTTGATTGGAAACGTCAGTGCACACGGTCGAATGACAAATGATCCATTCTTTTCTCCATACATTTTTGCTATTTATCATGCATTTATACATTTATAACATAGGTGTAGAAAAACAGGTCGAATTCATTAAAAATATGAATGAAATTGATTATCCAATTGAACCACATAAAAATGTAGATTAAACATTTCAATTAATGGCAACACAGACAACATATTATGGGAAATAAATCATTAAACTAATTACTATAAGCTACGGAAATCATTAAAAAAATTAACCTGATTGGAAAAGCTTATATTGCAAGCATATCAAAATACACATAAAATAACTGAAAGGTTTGGTTAAAAGGTTGTGTACTAAGGAGATTAAATGTCACTGTCATTTCCATAGTTAAAATGTGACGCAAACAATCACGTGTTTTTTATATAACCAATGACAATCAAGGAAATTAATTCAAACCAATAGTATAAGCTGCAATCCGTCATTCAATGACAAATTGCCTCTAAGTAATAACATTTCTTTATTTGCATATTCCCCTTTTTCATCTATTACCTCTAGGTAATAACGTTTCTTTATATGTAGATACCCTTTTTCATGTAATGCTTCCACTCATACATATATCTCGGAGCACTGATCTCAAACAATGGTGGGTGCGTAGATGAGGCGTACGGCGATAACGACGATGGAGAAGTTAAAGAAAATATAGAGGAATAACAACTTAACAAAAGCCACAAAGATCAGGCTTGTCCCTACGCTTGTATTCCCCATATTCTTATATGCGTCAGAGACATGGACGTTACGTGGTATTGAAAAGAAAAAGATAGCCGCTCTCGAAATGTAGTATTGGAGAAGAATGCTTGCCGGTATCATGGTCAGAATTTCCAACAAGTGTTTCCCATACTTCAAAAACTCGGCATTAAGCAGTGTCTATAAACACTGATACGAAACTGTAACTCCATAGAACGCCTTGTCACCTATGAGATGGACTGACCAAATAAAATCTGCAACTGGAGGCCATATGCACAAGGCAGTCCACGAATAGAGTTAGGTGGCGGGAAATCGTTAGGCGAGCTACATCTGCCCCCTCTCCAGATGCATCATCGTGATCACGACCACTCTGACAAGAGTGATACGAGCGAGAAGAAGACCCTTTTTCAAAATATTTTAAATCAGATTTTCTAAAAATTCTTTTGAATTTATTGAGAATTTGATGGGCGAGTTATTTTAAGTATAATTTGAGGTGTTTTTGCGATAATTTTGTACCAAGGTAGATTAGGCAGAAACCGAAGGTCTCCTTTGATGAAACAATGTATCGCCGTTGGTCACCTGTAGGAGACGTGTTTAGAAGGCTCACGCATATGCGGCAATACTACCGAGACTTGGCGGATGTGAGTGCCCTTGTATGCGGTTTTTAGTGGGAGCGCTTTGTAGTGTAATGCAACGTATTGTAAAAGTAATGCAATTTAGCGTAATGCCAGCACTTCACTTGGCTATGCGTGTTTGCTATTTGTAAACTTGACCTCAGATAGTCCTTATTATACTTTATAAGGAATGAAAAGGACACACTGATGTCAAGTTTACAAATAGCAAACACGCATGAGTGCAATAATGCGCAAGCCGCCAACAGCGGCGGATGGCTGTTGCGCGGATGATAATTTGAATAGCTCATCCGCGCGGTTACGCGGATGCCAGTGCGTTGTCGTTCTTTTATGCCTTCGATCAACAATTCTATACACGAGCCGGTAAACTTAGTTCTGCTGCTTATGCAATCTATAAAATAAGACGGCTTACAGATATCGACACTGCTAGGACAATATACTTAAGCTATTTTCACAGCATTATGTCGTATAGCATTCTATTGTGGGGCACGGCCGCTGACATTGAAACAGCTTTTATTCTTCAAAAACGCGCTATAAGAGTTATTTATCGCTTGGGATCTCGAACTTCTGTAAGGGATAAATTTAAAGAAATAGGTATAATGACTGTTGCCTCTCAATACATTTACAATTGTATATTGTTTGTGCGTCAGAACATAATTTAATATTTTTAAAAGTAGTACCTAGCTATACTTAACTTTTGTTAATTAATAATATTAATGTGATAGAAGATGACATCAACACATGTTTTCAATTTTTGATGTCATCTTTCAATTGACGACACTGTTTGAAACAAAACAGGGAGAAAAAAATAGCCCTTGCTGAGTTTCTTACCGGTTCTTCTCAGTACAAGGTCTCCCGCCGTAGATTTACGAACCGATGGCATAGCGTTTGACTTTCACAAGAGCTTGTAACAGCCTAGACTGAATAAATGAGTTTGAGTTTTATAGATAACGGATCAGCGTGTAAAATCCGTCTCGGTAAATATAGCCTCACATGAGACGGAGATCTTATTTTAAATAAATTCGGTTAATACAAAATGAAGTAACTCGCTGACCAATGACTGGTAAAAATATTTTATTTTTTGGGTCATATAGTTGATTTCACTTTTTACTTTTTTCACCTTTATCGTTTTTTTCCAAGTATCAGATATAATTAAATAAGCAAAAAATGTTTGTTATTTGTAACTTTATTATTTTGTGAGATAGTTGTTATAAGGTTCAACTTAAACTGTTTTAAAACATTTATCTTCGTTCATTGGGAATCGAATGAAGCTGCATAAGTTTAAACATACGCGGTCAGTTTTAAACTTTGATATTGTATGCAACCCATTATCTATAGAATTATTGATTGAAGCTTTATATGCCTATAAAAATAGCCATCCATCGGGATTGACGGCTCGTGCGTTATGCTAAGGAGCTGTGCCCACATCAGCAACGTGACACATGATCTGGCATGTAACTTGCCACTAGCATCAACATTCAAAGTGTAAATGTATGGGCTAGCGCCCATTTGCGTGACGCAACGCGACATGACCTGGAGACCTACTCTAATTCAACGAAAAACGAAATTTCGATCGAAATTTAGCACTTTTCTTACTATGTTTCTGCTTCGTGTTTTTAATTATAATAGTATTCGTCGTCGAAATATAGACTGAGGTGTACATTTCCTAAGCCTATTCAAAGAATGTTTTAATTTGATAGTTAATCTTTCAAATTAAATATAACCTTAAAATGACTTGAATTTAAATTTCGTTTGAACTTCGTTAACGAAAGTTCGTTTCGGAGAAAGAGAGTAGACACCCTGACGTGCCATTTAGCGTGCTACTAGTGACACAATGAAGTGACGCGCAACACGAAATTTGCAGTGATTATATCAGTTACAATGAAGGACGATTTAGAATTTAATACAAAATTTATTGAATTGGTTCAAGAAAGGCCGTGTATGTATATAATTCCTTCATAAGAACGTATGGTGCCACCAGCTTTTAACTTTTTTCTTCATATAAGATATACCCAAAAGCGTCTTTGATCGTTTTGAATATTTAAATTTTGTAAATAAGCAAGAGCATCTTGATCTTCATCAGGCGACGACGTTATCTCGAATGCCGTTGTACTCTGAAAAGTCTCTGGCATATCACCCTGGTGGGTTCGTTTAATGTCATGCCAGATCATGCTACATGCCAGTGGACAATCACGTTTTGTCACGTTGCTTAGGTGGGCACAGCGCCTACGTGTAATCCAATGTAGCGTCAGTAGCGTGAGTATATCGCAATGTAGCACTTATGTATGGAATGTTTCACTTATTTAGCGTAGTGTAGCGTAAATGTAATGCAATATAGTGTTAGTGTAAGTATCTACCTTAAATGAAATAATGAAATACCTTGTTGCTGATTTGGTTGGGGCGGGTAGCCGGCGTACTGTCCGCTGTAGCCATCCATGGCCGCGCCGCCGCCGCCCCCGCCCGCGGGGAATGATTGCTCTTGGGAATTCGATGACCCTGACGACGATCGATGAGAAGTTATGTCAGTAATTTTTCATTTTATACTACACTAGCGGCCCGCCCTTGCTTCGCTTCGGTGGAGACTATAATTTTTATTCTCTTTTGCTTTTGAAAACATAGAAGATTTTCCTATGAATAATTTAAGTTACTTCAATACAATCGGGTATATTTTTTCGACGTGAGGAGCGAAGCTCCATGACGAAAGTGGTCAGCACGTTCGGCTGCGATCGTTGCAGTTAAGCAACTTTCGCAGTTTTCGGTCATTGGATGGGTGATCAAAAATATACCATCTCGAGCTACTCCGTGCTTCGGAAGCCACGTTAAGCCGTTGGTCCCGGCTGTATCTGCAGCCGTTAACACCCACCAATCCACACTGGACCCGTATGGAGGGGTGGATCATGGCACAAACTCCCTACTCCATCCATAGGGAAGGCCTGCGCTCCAGCAGTGGGGACATTAATAGGCTGATGATGATGATAATTTCGACGTAGAAACTGTAGTTTTACACAGACGCACCTGCACTATTGTTGCTATTGGACTTGCCGCTCTTCTTCTTAGTAGACGCCTCCACTTGGTTGATGATCGGCTGAGGATCTATACCGCCGCGGTCGAAATGGCACTCGTACGCAAGCAAATTCTTAGTGTAATGCTTGCGAAGAGTGTAAGCGGCGGAAGAGGAAGCGCCGATGCCTAGGAGGCCGGCTATGTCTTTCCACGTTTTGTTTTTTGTCACCTGTGAATGGTTTAAATGACAAATTTGAAATTGTTATTAGCAACTAAGGGTCACTTGCACAAACATTTTGAAATGAAATAGTTTCATTAATCCTGGCTGGCTTAATCCTGTTTAACACATTACTCCCTCTTTGCCAATTGTTGAAAGTCCATTAGAGATAAAATGAGGTTTAAAAACCTTAGTGCAAATAGACCTACGCATAATACCCTAGCATGAGCACCGTTATATATGAGCACCGTTATAAATATATAGATCGATTTTATTTCTCTCAAATATCAAATTACTATGGAGTTTGACAGTAAGACGCGATAAAAAACGTGATATAATGTAAATTGTGGTACTCTTGCTACGGGGACTAAAAGTCGGTTTCTGAAACAAGTTGATGAACGGTCAGTAAGGATAACACAGAAAATAGTTTTCTGAGTGGACTCTTGATTTGTAATGATATTTTCCGTACAGTAGTATTAACCTTACCAATACAGATTTGTTTGGCATTGTACCGCTTTTACCAATCTAACAACTAACAAGACAGGAATAAAATTGCAAGTGAAACAACAGAATCATCAATTGTATATCTAAGTATTTCAGGAAAATACACAACCTTACCAATTTATAAGAAGAAAATATAATGAAACACCTGTGACGTGGCTTCATGTAAACCATATTATTATCACAAAACAACAGCTAGCGTGCACATAAAGTGCAAAGGTTTACAATGTTCTATGTATTAAAGGCGATAACTTGGAGTCTTAACGAGTGGAAACCTCACCATTCCGTTGGGTTTTCAGCGCAATTTTCCTAGCCACAACCGGTTAACACGTCCGTTGCCGACGGAATACTGAACGATACCGCTTACTACACAGCACTATGTTCGTATGAAGCAGCGTGTGCGAACGCTCGAATGATAAAAATTTATTAACTATCGTTAAAAGCCTGGCCGTTTTATGACACCTATTTGCATAAACCACGAAGAGCATGCACTAACATAAATCCCAACCGAAGTCTATTAGTCTCAGTTGCATTGAACTGCGAGCTTGACTTTTACGGGTGCTAAAATATTGTTTGAATTCAAACGCTGAAGTTGAGAACTTAAAGGCAAATTAAATCGCATGAACCAATAGGCTGTCAATAATGTTTTCAGGTGAAGTTTTACTCAGAAGTCATAAATTGGAATATTCATCAACAGCTCAGATAATCAAAGTTTAGTATTATGTGAACAACTTTAAGAGGTGAAAGCTTATATATTGTACCCGATACTTTATTTGTTATGAAAATAAAGTTTATTTACCTACACAGTGGTTTTTATATGGTGAACATGTTACTTATAAAATACATATTGGACAACATCTCACACATTATCTTAATCTCAAGCTGAGCGTGTAATATAAAACGGAAACGACAATATCATTATCCCGACCCAAATTCGCATAAATAATTTCTTACACTCACCTCTGCCAGATATATTTCCAGAATCTTACATAATTCGCTCCTAGAAAGTTTATACATTTTATCTAATGTTAACTTACTGAAACTGAAGTGAGCTGTGAAGTTAGCGCAAGTCTTGGCGCAGTGAATGAAATGTAGGCTGATGTAGGCGTGCGCGGGATGTCACTGAACAGAAAACTATTCGTGTTGAGCTCGTTGCTTATTTAGCAACTGCCATAAACTTTAAATCTAACTATAGTTGCTGCTGACGCGCTAGAGATCAGTGACGTTGTGTATGCGCCCGCTCGCGTACTAGTAGAAACAGTCGGTAAAGGTCGAACGGCTGTTCGGATGTGGTCGGGTATACGCCTCACCTCTACGAAGTCGTCCCGCTCGCGCACCATTAGAAACAGTCGGTACAGGTCGAGCGGCTGCTTGGATATGGTCGGGTATACGCCTCACCTCCACGAAGCCGCCCCTCTCGCACACCAGCCGGTACAAGTCGAACGGCTGCTAAGATGTGGTCGGGTATACGCTTCACCTCTACGAAGCCGCCACGCTCGCGCACCATTAGATACAGCCGGTATAGGTCGAGCGGCTGCTTAGATGTAGTCGGGTATACGCCTCACCTCTACCAAGCAGCCACGCTCGCGCATCATTAGATACAGTCGGTACAGGTCGAGCGGCTGCTTAGACGTGGTCAGGTATACGCCTCACCTTTACGAAGCCACCACGCTCGTGCACCATTAGATACTGTCGGTACAGGTCGAGCGGTTACTTAGATGTGGTCGGGTATACGCCTCACCTCCACGAAGCCGCCACTCTCGCGCACCAGCAGATACAGTCGGTACAGGTCGAGCGGCTGCTTGAATATGGTCAGGTATACGCCTCACCTCCACGAAGTTGCCCTCTCGCGTACCAGTAGACACAGCCGGTACAGGTCGAGTGGCTGCTTAGATGTGGTCGGGTATATGCCTCACCTCCACAAAGCCGCCCCTCTCGCGCACTAGCAGATACAGTCGGTACAGGTCGAGCGGCTGCTTGGATATAGTCGGACAGGCAGCGATAGGTGTGCGCCGCTCTTCCATAAAAGCCAGTAACCGCTCTACCCAGCCGCGCCGCTCGGGCGCGTCGTCCATCTCGTACAGCTTGCCCAGCGAGTCCGACTTCTGGCGCAGACATAACTCATCATACACTGCCGCTATTGACATGCTAGCACTTACACAGAGTTAATATTTTGCTATTTGTAACTATGACAGCAGTCTCTCCTTTTTATTTTCTATAATATAGAGCATGATATGAATATACCGCTGCCGATTGTACAAACAGCAAATACGAATAGCCATGTGAAGTGCTAGCAAAACAAACTCAAGTTTGCAAAATTTTATAACTTTAAAAAGACACCCTGAATGTATGTAAGCGAAGCTTCGGATTATTTTGAAACAAATCTTTTCAAAATCGGACTTATTGAGAATATTATTTGCATCGGAACAGTATTTAATAGTACAAGCCCAAGCGTGGATTTTGGGATTTACGAGCGTGGCAGAATAACATAAGGGGGCAATTTTGCTTACCTTTTGAAGTAATCCAACCATACCTGAGCTCTTTATATAGGGTCGAGTGTCTAGTGCAGCAAAAAAAACATCAATCGGCCATGACTTCTAGTCGCGTTCAATTTGTCAGTCTTTTAAATAATAGCTACTGGAGGGTACCCATATAACATCTTTCAAATATTTTGTCCCCCTATTTTCCACCCCTTCTTACAGCCACTCCACACCATGCAAACCGGCAGATTAATACATTTCCGTCCGAAACATTCTTGAACCCTCTAGTATCTCCTATTCAAAAGACAAAAAGATTTGGACGCGACCAAAAGTCGTTCGACCCTAAATGAAGGGCTTAGGTATAGTGGGAGTACTTCAAGGTGGAAGGTTGCCCTCTTTACGTTATTCTGCTGCGGTCGAGTAAAGGCCAAAAATACCCACTTTGTCTACCCTGATATAAAGATCTACTCAGCCTTTTAAAATTAATTTTTATTAAATTTGTTTCAAAATTATCCCAGACTCCGTTTAGTTATATTCAGAATAAGCTCCTTATTAGCAATTAATGGACCTTTTTTTTTAAGAAAAGTATGTTCCATTTTACCATTTCATAATCTAGCGTTATTTCGTGCAGAAAAATGAAAATTATGCAAAGCGCTAAATGTAACATGACGTATTGATAGCTGAAATGTCCTACAATATCAGTGCCATAAAACTATATTTCAATTATAATTTGAAAATTATTATTGATCCTATTAAGTTATAAATCTATAATACATATAATAAATTACATTTTGCTCCTGGCTCCTGTGTCTAATGACGTAATAATTGATACTAACATAAAAGAAGGTCCATAATAAATTCTTAGTTCTTCTTCTTTGGCAATATTGTCAGTGACACAAATTCTACCAATACGGTATTCGACAAGTTTTAGAAAACGATCGCACGTTATTTTCTAATGTTTATGAAGTCCATAAAAAGTGGATATTTTTTATTCTTTTGTGTAATTCAGTAAAAAAACTAAATTGAAATTCAATTTTCAAGTTGCCGCGAATATGCTTTCCTGACCATAATGGCGTCTCACTAGTGTGTAACGTCACACGACTGTCATTAAAACGTCAAACGATACGACATAATGTCACTTTGGAAGGAAGTTTACTAGCGTGTGACGTCATTTTAGTCTTGGCCAATCGCAGGCGTTTTAGTCACGTGACCATGGAGCAAAAAAAAATCATTTGTTTTTAATGATTTTCTAGAAAAGTTATTAATATTTATTCTTTCAGAATAGTGAAATAGCTGCTAATATTCTTATTAAGTACAGTTGCCAACAATTAGTACATTATTTTTCATGACAAAGAGCCTATTCATCTCAAGCAGCCAATGGTGCTGATATTTAAACAATAACAAAATAAAAACGCATCGGTCACTCAATGTTAGTGTAGGTGTTTGTTGGCTATAATTAAAAATATTAAAGTTTTAAAATATTATGATTGAAACTTGTAAAAGTAAGTAATTCTAAGGAATTCATTAAATATATCGTAGTAATAAAGTGGTAGTGTTTGTAATAAACATTCACACACAAAACGCATGCAGATCACGACGCACAACACAACAGTTATTTTTATGTGCATTCATAACTATCTTTCTCATTTAGATGTTTACGCTATTGTAGATTTAGTTAACTAACTACATGAAAATAGATCATATTAAATAAATGATATGGTAGATGCTTGAAAATCGCAATAATAAATCAGCGTGTAAAAAAAAATGTGCTTGAGTACAAACAATTTGCTATCTGAAACTACCAGAGAAACAAAATAAAATGACTAGACTACAATGAACTGAAGACGAACTTAAAAAATCACTGTATTGACATTTATTCATTGAAAGCGCTATAATAGACCAACACCAGAAAATATTATTTCACAATAGCATAAAGCGATATTCCGTTTTTTGTAGCGAAAGCTTAAATAGTCATTTTATTTTGATGCTGTAAAGATTATTTGAAACGATGCATTAAATGTAGGATGCATAATGAATTGAAACATTATGCAGAAAGAAGTCGACAACCATGCAGTATTTGTTATTTTGTGTGTTCAGCCGAATCGAGCACTACACATGCTTATGATCTTTAACTTGATATAAACCTTTGATCTGTAGGACTCCGGCGGTATGTGACTGTTAAATACCTGAAAGATACGATAAAATGCAATGCTTCCCTCTCACTCTTGGACATTGATACATTAACAAAACGAAACAACATATATAATGGCCAAACTGACACTCACATTTCTTGATTTGGGTTACCCTCCGATACTAATAATATTGGTTTACCTTTGTAATTTTAAGTCAACACTTAGTCGATTCAATAGGATCACGCTGAGTAGCAAACAAATGTTTGTACAAAACAATAGAATTAGATCGTGGAAGAACCCAAAGATTATATGTGTACATAAACACTAGTGAAGAGCATTGAACAGGAAACTTGTGAAAGTGTACATTTATATAGTAAACATAAACATATGTTCGAATTGAACAGGAGAACTGTGTATAATAATGTTGGATCTTTACCAGTAAGAAAATTCCGTAATCCTACTATTATTATAAAAAAAATACTGTCAGAAGTTTTCGTGTATTATTTATTTAAGTGGCTGTTTACTTAGGTACATTTTATCTAATTCTAAATCTTGCTACAGACACTCAATAAAAATAAAATATTAAAAAATAAATTTAGTATTCTGGGAGTAATAACAGGCAATTAATTTTTAACGATCATGTTAACAACATCGTTTGCAAATAACAATAAGAGCACTTACCTTAAATTAACAGAAAATGGAGCAGCAAGTTTGGGTATCACAGGTAAAGTAAATCTAGAGATTGGAAAAGTAACAACTGTGTATGTTCTATGGTAAATCGGAGAATTTGGGGTGAAATGTAGGTGCATGTGGTAAGTGAAAGGATAAGGACCGTTAAATGAGTGTTCATTCATCATTCTTGATAACCTACTTTCGAAATAGAAGGCGTAAGTGGTAGCTATTGTCACTATTTTTTCCCCAAACAATTCCCTACTCACCAAACATAGGCACTTGGAATAAAATCACCAACCTAATGAAGTAAAATGATTACCGGTACCGGGAAAAACAAATCCTTGGAACAAAAGCAAGTATTTGAAATACATATTTTACTTGGGGGTAATCTTTATGTGACTCAAAAAACTAGGCTCACAACCCACAGATCTTATCTTCTCTGTCTACTTAGTAGATAAGAACGTGGCGGTAAGTCCTCAGGAGCACGAGCGGGTTATTGTGTGAGAATGCCTGCTGTCGGAGAGCAGTATATGGTATCTCTTACGGGGTCAGAGGGCGGGCGCGGCCAGGAGGGCGAGCGAGTTATTGTGTGAGAGTGCCTGCTGTCAGAGGGCAGTGTGTGGGTTCACTCACGGAGCTAGAAGGTGGGTGCTGCCAGGAGGACCAAAGAGTGATTGTGTGAGAATGCCTGCTGTCAGGAGGCAGTATGTGGTGTCACTCACGGGGCTAAAGGGCGGGCGCGGCCAGAAGGGCAAACGGGTTATTGTGTTAGAGTGCCTGCTGTCAGGGAGCAGTATGTGATGTCACTCACGGAAATATAGAGGGCGAGCGGGTTATTGTGTGAGTGCCTGCTGTCAAAGGGCAGTGTGTGGGATCACTCACGGAGCTAGAAGGTGGGCGCTGCCAGAAAGGCGAACGGGTTATTGTGTGAGAGTGCCTGCTGGCAAGAGGCAGTGTGTGGTGTCACTCACGGGGCTAGAGGGCGGGCGCGTCCAGGAGGGCGAGCGGGTGATTGTGCGAGAGTGCCTGCTGTCAGGAGGCAGTGTGTGGGATCACTCACGGGGCTAGAGGGCGGGCGCGTCCAGGAGGGCAAGCCGATGATTGTGCGAGAGTGTCTGCTGTCAGGGGGCAGTGTGTGGGGTTACTCACGGGACTAGAGGGCAGGCGCGTCCAGGAGGGCGAGTGGGTGATTGTGCGAGTGTCTGCTGTCAGGGGGCAGTGTGTGGGGTCACTCACGGGACTAGAGGGCGGGCGCGGCCAAGACGGTGACGCATCGTAGTCGTCGTGCACGGACGAGTGCGATCCGCCGCCCGGCGACGGTGACGGCGCCGCGCTACTGGCGCCATACTCCTTGCGAGACGCTTTCGGGGTGCCGCAAGACTCTTCGCCGGAAGCTGAAACATCATAAGACATATTAGACAACTTCTGGCAGATATTTTTGTAAGATAAGTTACATATATACCTAAACGAACTATCGCTCGCTTCGTCGGTTCCGGTGGTGACGTGCTGACGTCATGACGCTACCTGCGGACGCGTTCCTGAGCGTGCTCTGTTGGCTGACTTCGGCCGGTGGTGACGAGCGCGGTGGCGGGCGGCGCGTGTCCATTTTTGTCGTGCTTGACGTCATAACGTACCTGCAGAGGCGTTGCTGAGCGTGCTCTGCTGGCTGCCCTCGTCGAGCGGCGCGCCGTCGGGGCCAGTGGTGACGAGAGCGGTGGCGGGCGGCGCGGGCCCGTTGTTGTCGTGCGAATCGCCCGGCGCCGTGGGTGGAGGCATCGCGCCTTCCGGTCCGGAACCTGGACCCGGCGCGCCCGGCCCGCCAGGCCCGCCCGGCGTAGGAGGGCCCATGTGACGGGGCTGCAACACAACATAATGTATACTCTTCACACGAACGCTATTATGATGTCAAGAAACAAACAAATCAACATTATATTTTTATTGTATACAGAAAAATATAGAGCCATCACAAGCCGCTAATACAGGAGAGCGTGTATGAAAAGAGTAATGAATATAAATGGACCGTACATTTTTATGGCGCTCTGTACTCTCTACCTTACTCAGTATAGATTCATATATAAAGAAACACTGGTGTCGATACTGGCAGGATTCTCAAAACTTAAAACTAAATTTAATATCCGTCTGACCTTTTCATACTGTATAGAGAATGACAAGGATACACTGTTGTCAAATTTAAGTTTAGCTTTAGGGAATCATGACAGTCGACAACACTGTATACTTTAATTCGAACACGATAGATGCAATGGGATCTAAATTTAGATAGGAAGAAGAAAACGAAGGAAAAACCGCACTGACCTTTAAAGTAGGATAATGTTGGGGCGGATGCGGCGGCGGCCTGGGTTGGTACCCCACTCCGTAAGGGTAAGGGTGGTGGTTTCTCGGCGGGTAGCCATACGGCGGCTGGTAGTGCGGCGCTTTGTAGGCGGGGTGATGCGCGTAAGGTTGCGCCACCATCGCGCCCGGCGGCGGCACCGCGCTCGGCGCCGGACCGGCCGGCACGCCGGGGCCCCCGGGCCGCACCGGCGGGCCGCCGCCGTCCGGTAACGACGACGACGTTCTCGGCGGCATCGCTACGTTCTGCGTGCCTGCAAATAAAGAAAGAATACCAAGTCAATACGCGTTTAAGGAGAAGTGTCTATGGAGGTAGGAAGGAAGAAGAAACCATCATCACAACAGTTACATTGAGACAAAGATCTTTATGGAGTGAGGTGCGATGCACCGTTGGAAACGGAAGTGCACCACTGTGCCGTGAAAAGTTATTAATTCGTGTCTCACACGGCAACAGCCGTTGTGCGAGTATACAGCTATGAGCTCCCAACAACTCATAGCTAACGAACTGTTAGCATTTATACAAAATGCTATCAGAACAGAAAACAGTTTTCAGGACTTCATCACCCTGCTAAAAGAGACTGAGGTAATTAGATATTAGAGATTAGATACCATTTGGTTAGCGAAATGAAATAAGAACTTTGGTCACAAAAGCCATGTATTGAATGCATAACTGAAAATGTATAATATAAGGGCATTCGTATCCCCATCGTCAGTTTCTATGGGAACAAAGCAGTGTCCCTTCCGGACCTAAGAAGAATCTAGCTCCTTCCATAGAAACTTTGACGTGACAATAAGATTACTTTCTAGATAGTTGTTAGTGCTTGGGGTACAGACAGATCTCTAGTGGAACAATGGCAATATATTATAAAGAAAAGCGCATTAAAAGAAATAGGTCTACTATAGACCAACGCCTATAATACGTCCAAAGATACTGGCTGCGTGTAGAGTGACATGGGGAAGACTTTCACGGAAAACACACATTTAAAGTATAACAACATTTTGTAATGTCGCAAAGCTATTCCATTTATTCTATGTAATGTTAACCAATCACTTATACGGGGATATGTTGTAACCAACTTGTACACGCTTTGAATAATCAGTTTACAAGAGCCAAGCTTGCCAAACATTAAAGCTTCAAAATATATCTCACTGTACCTAATTCCGTGAGTCTGTCATCATAATGAAATAAAAGAAAAAGGGCGTTTCGTGAAAGCCTGCAAACTGCGTGTGTTCTGGCGGAACACCGTCGAAATTCTACGGACGAAAGTGGAGGATGCCGGTGAATGAAAGGTCCGATTAGCAACCCTAGGCGCACATCAATCGTGGGCGGAGAGACGCACCCGATCACTCTCGTTTTCTACTGGCACGTGAGCCGCATGCACCGCTAGTCTGCGAATTCTCGCTGCACTTTATTGCATCCGTATATGTGCATACGACATACACGCAACGCATTGACCGAGGCCGAGATACGGGCGGCTGTGATTTGCGACGTCGAAAGTGGTATTGCAGCTTTTATGTAGGCCGATTTGGACTCCGGTTATGTTGGTGTTACGTGATGGAAACTATGCCCTATTATTGCACGGTCGGTGGTTCTCGGTAATCTACACCGAGAAACAGCAAGCGACAGCGTTCAATGCGAAAGGAGAATGCGAAACGGAATTCCAAAAAAGGGCGATTGTGACGGCATCGCTCGTAAACAATGCTAAGTGAGTGTGAGGGTCGTCAGTTTAATCTCATCAGTGGGCCATTATCGGGGCATTATATTGTTGTGGCGCGATCAGACAGCCGGCAGACGGCGGGGCGCCCGTGAATCATAGATAACAAGCTAGTGGCATACGCGCCCACCTATGCATATATATTTGTTTACGGCGACCTTTAATGAGTGTAACAGCGCCACGGTAATGGGGTCGTCCCGGCCCCAATGCTGGCGAGCCCGGCGTACGCTCTACTACTCGTAAAAATAGCGCACGACTAGCATCAAATTATGGACACAGATTTACGCAACATCATTTTTCATTTCTTGATCTAAAGAGTCTGAAGTATTTCCTTTCAAACTTCACTTCGAACTTTTTGGAAGAAATTTGATATAACGTTAACGTTGTAGTAAAACTGTAAGCAGATCCAAAAATATTAATAACGGAAAGGATTAATGAAATTTTAATAGGAACGGTATTTTAAAGCTGTCGATACAGAGAACGCCGTTGGTCACGGCAACGGGCAGTCTACAAGTCCAGTCAAGGGCAGCGCCCGTCACCGTCCGACTTGAGAAACCGAGGCCTTTACTTTCTGTCCAGCGGCCACGACCATTGAGCATGAAATACATCAAATGCCATTAACGAACGCCTAACAAGGTAATTTGAAAACCATCAACCCTGTAATGTTGATAAAGTTGACTTCTGTGTTGACTGATGGGTGATAATGCCAAAACACGAGATAATTAGGTACTTAGTTTTATTACAGTCAAAGGTAATAGTGAAATAACATGAATGAAATATTTTTAACTAATTAAGTTCGTGTACGATTACAGAAAACAATCTCGAGTTTTTCACTTACGTAAACATGAATTGCTGTAAGATTCGATAATACGACATTGATGAATGAATCAGTCGTTGCCTTTCTCTCGATCAGATGACGAAGTATGGGTAGATAAATTGCGTGACATTTCCCAGAGATTTGCCAGCTAATTGCAGATTGGATAGTTTGTGGTAGATAGTTGAGAATGCGCTCGCGACGTGCGGGAAGCCGCGTACCAAGCACGCATTCCGTGCATAAGATAGCAGCGCGCCCACGAGGACACCACAAACACGACATGTCGTAAGTATTTATGTCATGTATATTAAGCTTACACTAAACTTAAAAAATCAGGAAAGCATTATTGTCGGACAACATCTTACGCCCAAGTAATGCCAAATGTGGAGTGCTAAAGCACGGGAAATGGGAATGAAGAATATATTTTTTTTACTCTAAAACGCATTTGATGCTCTGCCTTCCTTAAAAGGGATATAGGTATGGCGTAAAGGTTCATGTTATAAGTATAATAAGTTATGAAAATACGCAATAGCTTAAGCGAAAAAGTCGACTTAAATATCCTATTTTGTACTGATCTTTAGAAATAGTGTAGGTATGGATTATACAAGTCTATGCATATGCATAGCATATTCATAGAGGATGACTTCCATTGTGGAATAGACTTGTCAACTATCTGTATAAACGGACAAAACACAAAGTGGTATGACGTGAGTCCTGACCACTGAAACGAGCAATGACGAGTCGGAATATATTTCCAAAACATACTGACGGGTTCTAAACTGAGTGGGTATAAACAGAGCGTAGACAATAGGTTTAACAAGAGCGGCCTAGTTGAGACAATCGGCGGCGACACGGCGACGCCAGAGCCGCCGGCCGGCTGTTTGCCGACCCATTTACCGATACCCGAGCGACGCGACGCCAGCGCACACCGTTAAATATTCAACTCAATATTTTATAAACTGAGGGCCTAACCACCTATCGGGATTGCTAAGGCTATTGCTATAGCTTGTGATTTCATTTTGTTATTTCTGACCGCAGAAGGTTTTCAATTACCTCACTCTCATTTTCTTAAATATTGTTATTACCAATGCAAAGAGCGCGAGAGGCATTTGATCACCTTTGGCGGTCAGAAATAACAAAATGAAATCGTAAG